GGCTTGTCCAAAATGACCGTGAGAACCAGAGGGGATCACGTGGCCTATCTTCAAGCCAGCGAAGGATGTCCAAGACACGCCTCCGGCGTGGTTCCGCGAGTTCAAAAATCCATCTCGGGTGAAAACCGCCCCGTCAAGACCGGCCCCGGGGCAATCTTCCCGACAGCCCTTCATAAGGCGTTCCAATGAAATCTCTTCGAGGGGCGCCTCATCGTCTGGCGTGGCCTACATCGATGGGCGCCCCCCCTGTCGACCTGCCACCCGCCGCAAGGGGGCCCACTCATCTAAGAGGGCAGCGAGAGCGCCGTCTCCTGCAGACGGGGAGACCTCGGAGTCGAGGAGAGACGTCACGTTCGACGCCTTCTTTTGAATGAAACTGCGAGCCGCCCCCCCCTCTCCCCCAGCGCTTTCGACCGCCCAGGTCTTCTGCTCCTGCAGGGGCGTCTGCGAATGCTCCTGCTTCCTCTCGCCCCCCCCCCCCCCCCCCCAGCTCGCCTAAGGCGTCGCGGACGGGCCCGTCGCCCGAGGTGACGACGTCGGCGAAGCAGCGCAGAAGGCCAAGTCAGCGGAGAGACAGCCCACGTCGGTGACCATCGCCTGCAGGCCCCGATTCCGCTGAGATTAAATGCGGCGGCCTTTGCGGCCCACCTCGCCGACGCAAGTCTGACGCGAGCGCTTGCGCAGAGCGACGCGAGAGATCCACGCTGTCGTCGATCGGGACAACCGCATCACCTGGCTTTCCCCCCAAACAACCCCAAGAGGGACCAGCTTCGACTTGGGCCCATTGGCCCCCCCCCCGGCGCATGCCCTGGACACATGAGGCACAATCCCATGGATGCGAATCAGGCGCTGATCCAGAAAAACCCGACCCACTCCTCGACCGCGAGGCCCAAGTCTGACGAGAAGCCCACCTCCCAGGACCCGTTGCACTGCAGCGGAGCCCGACGAGGACCCATGAGCTCCAGGGGGAAGGCCCGAAACTTCACCTTCTGATTCATCGCGGACACGCGGCCGAGCTCTGTCAGCTTCAAACAACAGGAACGCGAGGGCATATGGGCGCCTGGTCCAAGACCCAGCTCGCCTCGACCAGCGAGGACAGCGCCTCTGCAACCGCCGAGAATTCGAGGATCCTGCTGCCGTCGGCCTCCTGCTGAACGACCTCCGAAACCTCCTTGTCCAAGATCGCCCATGCATCTAACTTGCCCGTCGGAGTCTGCGATGGGGCCGGTTGAACCGTCCTGGTGCGTGGTCACGCAAGTGGGCCCGCTGGGGCCGCCGGCCCCCCGCGCGCTTTCTGCGACCACCCGGGCTCCATGAGTGCGTCGGGCTGGGCGCTGCAGTCCCCCCGGAGGACCCGCCGCCATCTTGGGCGCCAAGGTGGGTTCCGATGGCCTGCAGCAGAGCCCGCCACGAAAAAGGCACCGACGACGACTATGCCCTTCGGGAAGCCTGCGTTGACAATCCACGAAAACACAGGTCGCTGCAGGCCTAGAACCGAGATTCGAGCGAACACCAACTGCAACTCCTGATCTGCAACGCAGCGCGCCGGGCCCTGCGCCGCGCGCGCGACCAAAATCCACAAAAGATAACCCTGCCGTTTTCCCTGGCTCATGACGGAGACCTGCCCGGCGCCACTCGCGACCCTGGTCTCCTGGACGCGGCGAACCCGCGGAAAGGGGGGGGCGCTGCCAGATGCCTTCCATCCACTCGGCTAGCGTCTCGAACGTGCTCCGCGGTCTCATGCGCGCGCCAGCGTTGTCGAGCGAGCTGAAAGCAATCGCCCGCAGTTGCCTCAGAGCCTCTTCTGCAGCAGAACACAAAACAACAGCTGGTAGCACGTGGTCCGATGCAACTAAGAGATTACGCGCAGGCGGGCCGCCGCCTCGTGCGCGCCCACACCTGTCGGATCTTGACCGCTCAAATTTCGACGCTGCATCGAGCGCGGCGCGGGGGGGGGGGGGGGGGGGGGGGCGCCTCGAGAGCGCCCGAATGCGCAGCTTGCGCACCAAGCTTGCGAGCGCCGACGCCGATGGCACACGCGCCTGAAGTGGAAGGTTCCAAAGGCCCTGCCGTCGACGCCGAAGGCTGCGAAGTCGTCGCTGCTGCCGTCGAGAAACGCGTCGCCGACCCGCGCGCAGAAGCCCCAGTTGCCAACGCCCCCGACGCACCAAGAAGCCGTCGACGAGGGCCTCTCCGACGCCGCCAGCGCAATGGACCCACCAGTGGCAGCCGCGCCCGACGGAAACGGCGCCCGAGTTCTCGATGCACCTACGGGCAGAGGGGCGCGACGTCCAGGGGCTGAATCCCTGCCCCCCTTTGCCCTTCTGAGCTCCGCCCTGAACGTCAGCGCCGAGCGCTGGCCATCCGCGCGAATCAAGAAGCCCGAGCCCTTGAGCTTCGCCGCCTCGGCGTCGCCGGAGCACAGGGGCAGCTGGCGCCCGGCTCAAGCCCAGCGCAGGCCCAGCCTGTAACGCGGGCACCTCGAAGCCCAGTGACCACTCCAAGTCGACCGCGTTGCTGTCCCAGAAGGCGCTGTTCGCGGCGCTGGCAGCGCCCCGAGCCGCGCGGGCTAGGCTAAACAGTCCGCGGCTTTTTAGCTCCAAAGCCAAGGGCTGCAGCTCCCTCCACGCTCTTCATCGTGGCGCCGAGCTGGTCCCCGGGCGAAGCCGTGCGGAGGCGATCTGCAGCAGCCTGGAACTCTTTCTGTTTCTCTTCACAGCCTTCCGTTTCTCTCTTTGTTTTCTTTTCTTTGTTGTTTCTCTCTCTCTCTCTCTCTCTCTCCCTCTCCGCTCTATTGTAGTTCACCGTGGCACGCGTCCGTGGTGAGTGACAAAGATAGAAGCCAGCGCCAACGTCGCATTGCCTCCGCTGTCAGCCGCATCATCGTTTACCGCGCGCTGCTGCAACGCACTGCTCACATCTGATATTTGGGCGCGACCTTCTTACAGAGCGCACGCTCGAGCTCCGAATCCTTTTGTGCATTGCGATGGGAGCTAAGACCTGACATCGATTCCCTGGAATATCGGTACATCTGCTGCGATCGCCCACGATACTCTTCCAATCATCAAATGCACGGCGTGGTCCAAGTCGGGCTAGCACTATCCAGGTGGCTTACACAACCTCCTCGACCAGGCCATCCGTTTCTGTGGTTTGTTTGTCTTGCCACAAGTCTCGCAACGCACGGACGGTGGTAGATCTGTGTTTGGGCCTGCGAGAGGCGCCAATACGTAGTATCCCTGCTGCCAGGCTTCACTCTTGTGCATTCTACCTATGTGTTCAGCAGCGCATATCTTCCTTTGAGACCTCGAAGATCATGTGCCTCGTGATCAGTCAGTTGCACAGTCTCACGTACAATTCTCATAGGCGCGAAAGCTGTACTCCTTTATGGCACCACTCTCGCGAGCAGCGAACGCAGCACAAGCAACCAAAACCGTATGCGTGACGTTGGCCCTGGTATTCGCTTCCAGCTTCGGTGGTGTCCAGGTCGGTCTCGGCAAAGTCCCCCATGGTGGTATCCGTATGCCTGCTTGCTTGTCAGTAATCGCCAGCGCCACTGCGTACAACAAACCAGGGGCGCTCCTGATCCCCAGCGGCGTCAGCGAGCAACATGCTACACTGTTGATTCGTGGTGCTAGTCTACACTCGCAAGGAAAGGCGCCGCGGGCAGCTGCTGTCGAGAAGTACCTCGCCATGCTCTCGAGCGTCGCCGTCTCTGAGTTCTCTTGAGGGGTTACAAGAGGTAGGCCAGCAATCGTAATAGTGGAATCAAACGCCAGTTCTGCTCCAAATACATCTGCGTCTGCCCTGCAGGAGGGAGGAGGAGGAGGAGCGAGGGGAGGAGGAAGGAGGACAAGGAGGAGGGGGATGAGGAAGGAGGAGGAGGAGGAGGAGGAGGAGGAGGAGGAGGAGGAGGGAGAAGGCGGAGTAGGAGAGGGAGGGTGAGGGGGAGGGTGAGGATAAAGACAAGGACAGAGACAAGGACAAGGACAAGCATGATGATGTTGATGATGATGATGATGATGATAATGATGATGATGATGATGATGATGATGATGATGATGATGATGATGCTGATGCTGATGCTGATGCTGATGTGCTGCTGATGATGATGATGAGAGGAGAGGGAGATGATGATGAATGATGATGATGATGATGATGATGATGATGATGATGATGATGATGATGATGATGATGATTGATGATGAGGAGGGAGGAGGAGGAGGAGGGAGGAGGAGGAGGAGGAGGAGGAGGAGGAGAGGAGGAGGAGGAGGAGGGAGGAGGAGGAGGAGTTGGAGGAGGGAGGATGAGGATGAGGAGGGAGGAGGAATAGGAGGAGAAGGAGGGAGGAGAAGGAGGAGGAGGAAGAGGAGGAGGATGAGGAGAAGGTGGAGGAGGAGGAGAAGGAGGAGGAGGTGGAGGAGGAGGAAGTGGAGGAGGAGGAGGAAGAGGTGGAGATGGCAACACGAGGAGCTGGCGACGAGGACCGCAAGCATGAGGAGGGGACCGAAGCAGACGGCCGGACCCGGGCTAAAACGGCTCGGGGCGCTGGAGGGGGGTGGCGGGGCAGACCAGCACACACGTCTGCCGCTTCCCGCTCGCTGCACGGGTCGCCCTATGCACCTGCAGTCGGAAACCGAGTGCGTCTTCCTCGTCTCCCTCCCCCTCCCCCGCACCCGTCCCTCAGAACAAACAGTCACTTGGGGAGGGGTAGCGTGATCGATCCGGGGGGCTCTGAGCGCCTAGACAAGCACAAGTCCCGCTCCCTCCTCCTCTTCCTTCCTGCCTCTACCCTCCCCCTTCTAGATTCCCCCTCCTTTTAGTACGTCGTTCGGATGTGAAGAACGGGGTTTGTTGCGTCCTCCCCTCCCCGTCCTCCTCCTCTTCTTCCTCCTCCTCCTCGTCCTCGTCCTCGTCGTCAACGGCATCGTCGTCATCCTCCTCCTCCACCACCACCACCTCTATTTCCTCCTCCACCTCCTCCTCTCTGCCCCCCCTCCCTCCAGTACAGCGCCATGACGGTCCAAGCCAGGATGCTCAGTGCGAAGGGCATGTACCTGACCCCTGCGGATGCGCCTCTTTGAGAGAGCCGGAGGGCAGGTTGAGCGAGGACGAGGGAAAAGGATATGGAGAAGAGAGGCCGCGAGGAGGGATGATGAGGATGACCTATGAGAGGAGCAGGGAGGATCACATACCAAGGGATAACAGGATCAAACTCATGCGGGGGGACGAGATGACAAAGGGAACGGGAGGAGGCGGCAGAGGCAGGAGCGACGGGGCAGGTCTGGCCGTACAGCGGCGGCTGAGGAGGGAAAGGCAAGGAGTGAGGACGCTAACGGGAGAAAGGAGGAGCGTCCTGCGATGATCCAATATGCTCCAAGATGGTCCACGTGTTCTGGCGCTGTCCTCGCCGACAAAACATGCACACGCCCAAGCGATGCCAAGGCGAAGAGGATAGGGTTAGGTCGGGCATGTCCCCCTACAGGCGGATTTCGGACGAAAGACAAAGAACCAAACAAATGTTCCAAAGTGGTCAAAAATTCTCGAACAATCGTCCCCCGACTATTTCGTATTATTTTTGAGTGCTCTTTCTGTAGAGGTACACGCCCGAGTTAAGGATAGGGAGAAGCGAGGACGACGGATCACAGATCCCCCTTGCGAGGTGCGGCCTCGATCAGCCACCCAACGGGAATCTCTGGAAAACATCCATCATCCTCCCTCCAGCTCCTCCTCCGCCCTCCCTCCTTCTCGTCCTCCCCCCTCCCTCCCTTCCCTCCTCCTCCTGCTGCAGCTCCTGGTTCTCCCTGTCCTCGTCCTTCTCCCTCTGCTCGTCCTCCTACTCGTCGTCCTCCTCCTCCTCCTCCTCACCCTCGTCCTCCCCATCCTGCTCGAATCTTCCTCCCACTCTCCCTCTTTCAACCTCCTCAAAGTTTGCCGGTTCACAGTCTGGGGAGCCTCGCACAGCGGCACGTTACATAGGCGACGATGTCTTTGCAGGAGGTCGCACATGCGATCGAACTACCAGGCCGACGCTGCGGGACCAGACTTCCATGCTTCTGCGTGGAAGCTTCGTTGGGCTGCCCTCCAGAGCGTTAGCGTTTCGGGTCCAGCGCGCTAACTTTGGAAGACTGGGCTTTAGAGCATCGGATTCTGATTGAAAGACGGGGAACCATTTCGCAGGAACTTTGGGCCGGTGGACGCTGCCCAACCACCCCCATGCTGCATGACGACTATTGCTGGTCAATTGGCATAACGCCGACCATCCAACGGTGCAACCGATATTAACGGTATACCTACCCTGCCCGCGGATTAGGGTCTCTGCAGCATCCGTGAATTGTTGTCTCTCGCTCTTCCTACTTTGAATCGGCCTCCGAAAAACTGGGGGTCTCTCGGAACAGATGTTCAATTCTTTCAGAGGGCGCTCTTTGCGCTAACAAGGCGGCCACCATGATTGACCGCCAGTGTAGAGTGATGTCCTTGATAGCCACGAGCCCCAACATGGTGCAGCCCCGCTCGCGAGCACGCTGAGAGTGGAGCTGAAAGTTCGGGGAACTGTTCTCCAGGGTTTAGCACTGGCAGTGATTGGTGATGCGGGTCTCTCTCCTCCACAACGCATCCTCACCATTTCTTATGTTGCAAGTCGTGCGTTGACAACGAAGAAGCCTTCTGCTACAAGGTCTGATGTGCAGGCTGCGTGTCAATACGGAGCCCCAGCTGTTTCATCCATACCATGAGTGCCTTCACTATCGACCTCCAGGAGGCGCTCTCCCTCCTCCAGCGCTCACTCACCATTTCTTGTGTTGCCACTCGTATGTTGACAACGCAAAAAAAACCTGTTGCTGCAAAGGTATGTTGCTTAGGGGCGAAGAAGGGCATAACATAGTTGTTCCTCTGTCGGGGACGCCTGTCCCCGGGCGGCTGGAAACTGTCTACCCTTACGGTGCCATGTAGGGGTATGAACGGTCCAGCCGCCCAGGGGGCAGGTATCCCCAGCGGCGGAACAGTTTAGTTTATGCCGTTTTTCGGCCGCTAAGACGTGCAGGCTGCGTGTGTCATTGCGGAGGCACCTCTCTTTCATCGATGCCACGAACGAATGCCCTCTCGCTCGCGACCTCCAGGAGAGGCGCTCCCTGCTCCGCTATATGGTCCTCCTGGACGATCCAGAGCTCGAGTGGGGGATGGACTAAAGAGCTGATCTACCCCGAAATGGATTTCCTCGTCTCGAACACAGGGATGAGACGAAGTAGTTCCATGGATTTTTTTTAAACTCATGTTGGTGTCGATCAGTTCTGTGGTCGATCCCCTACTCGAAGAACGAAGAATCCTGTTTGTCCTCGGGCTGCGGCTCAGGGCCGTCCGTCAGACGGGGGGCGCCCCCCCATCCAGGGCTAGGCCACGAAAGTTTCACCCTCTGGCCTCGAGCGCCCCAACCCATAGCATGGTTTAGCTCAGGCCTCGAGGGGCAAATGCGTTCGGGATGACTGCTGTTTACGGACTCCGACTGTTTCCCGCCGTGTGGCTGGCGGGGGCTGGCGCAGATCGACTCGTGGGGCGAAGTGATTGCATCGTTCCACGGTCCTCTGATCTGGACCCCAAGTCCCCAGCTGCCCGGCACGTCGCTCTTCTCGCAGCTGCCACTCACTGCCCACGTCCCGAAGATGTCGGGGTTGATTGCCAGGACTTCGGAGGTATTTAATTTCAAATATCATACTGAAGTGTAAATTCGGTCAGGCTTTTATTATGCGCCTCCTCTTCGCAGTCTGGGAACGACTTCGAAAGGTCAAAGCTCATCAGTCCAGTTCTGATTTGGAAACTGGTTCTGACGAATTCGTACAAACGAAGGGCAATGAGCATGCCGACCTGCTTGTCAAAGCTGGAGCGCTCCAATTCTGCCTGGGCCAACAGCTGCGCAATTAGTGTGAATTGAGCGTGAACTGTCCCTCCTAAAGTGTTTCTTGAAATCTCTTGGCCAACCTCTTGCTTGTTGGCCCGCCCCCACTGGTCCTCGAAAGAATCGCCGGAAAATACCCATCTGGGGTACAGCATCCCACGGAAGGCCTCGTGGCAGGGGGTGCAGCTTGCCTCGAAGCGCTGTGTCCGCGGTCGCGTGCCCCCCAGCCGGTGTCGGCTTCCGCGCCGCCTGGATAAGGGTAAGGTCGGGAAGGTGCTGGCAATGAATAAAAAAAAAGAAAAACGGCATGAACCTAAACTTTCGAGAGGCGCCGGAGGCGCCGCCGGGGGAACCCAGCGAGGAAATCTGCGCGGAGCGCCAAACGTTCGTGTTTATGCAGTGTTTTTTCCTTTTTCGATACATGCCGACGGCCGCTCCACTGGAACGGTCTCTGCCAGATGCTGCGTCAGCCAGTGCCCCTGCAAGAGCACCCCAGCCTGTCCCCCGTCTCCTTCCTCCACCCGCCCCTCTCGTCGCGGCTGAGGCTACCATGGGAGGTCTTCCGCAAGGGGCATCCTCGCTCAGCCAGGCTGTCCCAGGGGGCGCATGGAGCCACCGTTGGAAGTGGTGCTCCACTTTCTGGGCGCGCCGCACCTGACATGCGAGGAGCAAGCACCGGGTCCCACCTCAGCAGGCAGCCTGCTCTGGATCCCGCACAGTCCTCAGTGCAATCGCTGAGGGCCCGCAAAGAGTCCAAGATCACAAAGAGTACATAGCCAGTCATGATGGAGATCCGCTCATCTTTATTCTCTGCAAGTGTCGATTCATGTCTCAAGGGCGGCGTGCGTTTAATGTCCACCGCGGTGCTGCCCAGGGGTTTGAAGTCAAATCGCTTCAGGCAGAAATGGACACATGTGCTCGGCAGGATGCACAGTGATCCTTCGGAAGGGGAGGCTGAGCTCCTAGACGACCTTTTTCCTCTTGCCTCCCTTTCGGAGGTCGAGGAAGACACAGCTGAACTGAGTGGTGCTTTGTTTATCATTGCACTGCGCCGTACAAACCCCAAGAACGATCAAAGTGGTACGTCGTTATCGTGTGTTCAGCCAAGTCTTGGGTCGACACTTGTAACTCAACGAATGCTGAGGTGGAGCTGGCTGACACTCACGCTTCATCAAGCAGAAAGGGGTATTCTACCAACAGTCAGGCCCGCCCCATGCCAGACGCTACAATTGACATTCCATGGTGACGCGATGGTCCTCATCCTCCACGTACCTCCGTATCCATCCGACTTTCCTTATTGATTCCTCTTCCCGCCCTTCCTGCTCGTCCTCCTCTTTCCTCCGTCATCCCTCCTCCCTTCCACCACTCTTCATCGTACTCCCCTCCCATCTCTTCACCCGCCTCCCTCCTCCTCCTCCTCCTCCTCCTCCTCCTCCTCCTCCTCCTCCTCCTCCTCCTCCTGTTCGGCCAAGCACGCCTCCTCCTCCACCTCCTCCTCCTCCTCCTCTTCCTCGAATTCACAGTCTTCCCTTCCGCCGTTCCATTCCCAAGCCCCCGTGCACTCCCTCAGCCCTGCCCTTCTTGAGACCCCCCTGACCATCTGAATCCTCTCAGTTCCGCCAAAAACACAAGCGGTGCAACAATATAATACAAGGTCGCATGGTCGCATGGGTCCCTAAACCGCTCCCGCGGCCACCTTGACACATTGTTCGAGCTGCGTCCAGCCGTGAGCACGAAGAACGCCCCAAACCCGAGAAACCAAACTATTCCGCAATCAGTGCTTGCACTGAAAGGGTCCAGCGGAGATTGAAAGATTTGGCGAAAATTCCGAGCCGATTTCGGTGGGCGGCCAAGTTCCCGGGTTCCCAATTCCGGATTCCCGGGTTTCCAGTTCCGTGTTCTGGGCGGATTTCGGTGGGCGACAGGGTTCCCCGGTTCCTGGTCGATCTTCTTATCGATCGGTCTCAACATCGATCTCATTACCCACCTCTCTATCGATATCACTATCGATCTCACAATCGATCTCACTATAGATCGCACGAGCAATCTCACGATCGGTCTCACTTTTGATCACATTGAATCGGCTTCACTATCGGTCTCACTACCGATTACACTATCGATCTTACAATCGATCCCGATATCCATATCGCTAATGTTCAAACCATCCACTGATTGGGTATTTTCTCTGGTGTAAGTACTTCCTCCTCGCCCTCCTCCTCGAAGTCAACAGGCTCCTCACAGGACTTCAGAGGCTTCTGTCGGTCGGACAAAGGCTTGCGAAAGCGATCCGCAACCTCGATCCTCCTCGCCGAGCCCCCCACCTCTGCCTCCTCCTCCTCTCCTGCGTCTCCTCCTCCTCCGCCTCCTCCTCCACCTCCCTCACTCTCCCCTTCTCCTCCCTCCTCCCCTCGCTCATCTCCTCCCTCCTCTCCTCGCTCCTCTCCCCCCTCCTCTCCTCCCCTCTCCTCTCCTCCCTCCTCTTCTCGCTCCTCTCCTCCCTCCTCGGGCCCCGTGCGGGGCACGACGGCTTGGGAATGAAGGCGAAGCCGCCCCCGAAGGCCATGTAGACGAGCCCGACGCCCATCCTCTCGGGGGGCCCATGCTCCCCAGGGAACGAGCGACGACGCCGTCGTTCCTCCCTCTGCTCCACCCTTCCCCCTCCCCCTCTGTCCCCTCCATCCGTCTTCGCATCCACCACCACCAGCATCATAATAATAATCATCAGCATCATCATCATCATCATCATCATCATCATCATCATCATCATCATCATCATCATCATCACCATCACCATCACCATCATCAGCATCAGCATCAGCATCAGCATCAGCAGCATCATCATCACCACCACCATCATCATCATCAGCATCATCACCATCACCATCACCATCGCCATCACCATCAGCATCATCAGCAGCATCAGCATCAGCATCATCATCAAACACATCATCATCAGCATCATCACCATCACCATCATCAACTGCATCATAGCCATCATCAGTATCATCATCATATCCAGGTGCATCGTCATCGCCAGCATCATCATCACCATCATCATCATCCCCATCCTCGTGATCGTCCTCACCACCACCATCGCCAGCATCACCATCATCAGCATCATCAGCATCATCATACACATTATCATCAGCATCTCGTCATTGCCACTGTCTGCGTTATGATCAACAGCATCATCCTCATCCTCATTCGCCTATGTTTTCTAGTCTTCATTATCAGCGTCATTATCCTATTCGTCATCATGTTTACTCATCCTGTTGATCCCCTTCGTGTCGTCTCACCCCATCTTCTTCCTTCGGCTCCTTCTACCCATCACCTCCCTTCCTCCTCTTCTCGCTCCTCGTCTCCCTCCCCCTCCTCCTCCTCGTCCTCATGCTCGTCCTCGTCCTCGTCCTCCACTTCGTCTTCCTTCTCGTCCTCGTCCTCCTCCTCGTCCTCGTCCTGGTCCTCCTCCTCCTCCTCCTCCTCGTCCTCGTCCTCCTCCTCGTCTTCCTCTCCGTCCTCGTCCTTCTCCTTGTCCTCGTCCTCCTCCTCCTCTTCCGCCTCCTCCGCCTCCTCCGCCTTCTCCGCCTCCTCCGCCCCCTCCGCCGCCTCTCTCCGCCTCCTTCGCCTCCTCCGCCTCGTCCTCCGCCTGCTCCTCCGCCTACTCCTTCGCCTCCTCCTCCGCCTCCGCCTCCTCCTCCTCCGCCTCCTCTCCTCTGACTCCTCCTTCTCCTCCTCCTCCCCGTTTCCTCTCTCCTCCTCCTCGTCCTCCTTCTCCGTGCCCTGTCCCTTGTTACCCGCTTGGTCTTGATTATTGACCCTGCTGATGTTCCACCTCCTGCCTCATCGTCCCTCTCTCTCGCTCTCCCTCTCTCCCTGTCGTCCCCGCCCGTCCCCCGCTGGCTGGCCTACACCCCGTTCATACCTCTAAACCGTCCACACCGCGAGCATCCCGAGCCACCCAAGGGCCCAACCATACACCAGATAAGCAGCTCTTGGGCCCCAAGCCATCGACCGTAATTAGGGGGGGATGTGGCCCTGGAAGTCGCCCACGCCAACTGAGGACCAACCCTGTCCTTCACCCGTTTGATGCCCCCCATCCCTGCCCCAGCCTCTGACTACCTGTTCATTCCGAGTGGCCGATCATTACCTCGAGCTCTCGACTAGGGGGCCACATACGAACCCTACCCCTACCCCCCACGATTTCTGAGGGGGAGGGTTCGCATGTGGCCCCCTATCGACACCTCCCCCTCCCCAAGCCCAGGTGCCCGCCAACGGCTTGCGGGCGAAGACCGTGGAGAGCCTCCAGCCCATCCAGAAGCCGTCCCCAGGGGCCACGCTCCGGCGAGAACCTCGAGGGGAGTCCAGCCGTGGCGACGAAAGGCCTCCGGAGGGCCCGTGGAGAAAACACGCTCAAGCACCCGCGATCCTCAATCGATCGATCAATCGAGCACTCCACCTCTGCTCTACTGCGATGTCACGTTTTCGTTCTTGACGTGGCCCCCCCCGGAGTCAAGACCCTTTCCCAAGGTGCCAACTTCTCATCCCAAACTGTTCTCTGACAGCCCCACAACCAGGACACGGCCTCCAGATGCCAGAACGGCACTCAAGCGGCGAAAACGCCGAACAGAAACAGCGGGGGGGAACCGGGAGAAAACGTCGATCCGCAATTTCGAACAAAATGCTGATAAAGTCAAGATTTTGAATGGAAAACGCGGGGAATGTCGAACAAACGGCCGCCGCGTGTTTTTGTTCGGGCACGCGCAAATATGGATTAGGGTTAGGTCGGGCGTGTCCCCATACAAGGGGATCTTCGACGAAAAATAGAACACAAAACATACGCAGAAACATATATCCAAACATGGTCAAAACATGTCAGAAAAATCATCCCCACACTACGTTTGAACTATTTTTGGATATTCCCCCTGTAGGGGGACAAGCCCGACTTAAGATTAGGGATCCGTGGATATGCGCCGATCTCAAAGCATTGCGCCGATGCTGCCTGATTTGGCGACGGAGCGCTCCGATTTGGTATGCAAGGGCTCCCAATGTCGCGCTTCGCGCTGCGCGAAGTGCGAAATAACTTCGCGCTCTCGCGTCGCCTCCCAAGGAGAAGAGAAGGCTGAGGAGGAACCGGAGCCGAACCGCGAAGCGCGAAGAACTTCGCGCCCTCGAGGGCGCCCTTGGGTACGGAAACAGGGCCCGTCGCCAATCCACCTACCGTCAACAATTGTTTGGTCGGCGGGGCGAGAGCGAACCTCTTCCGCCAAAAGGTGGGCGGGCTACGCACAGCTTGAATTAGGGCGACAGGGCACGCATCCGCCGTACGGCAGGTTCGTGTCGTGCCGACCCCAGCGTTGGTTTTTGACACCGCAGGGATCGTTCAACCTTGAACGATCGGCCGCTGCCGCAACGACCGATCGTTCAACGTCGATCGATTCTGGGTCGCCAGCGGCGTTCAACCTTGAACGCCCACGCTGGGGTCGCCGCTGGTCGACACGACGCAAACCTACCGTAGACAGTCGGCCCGTAGAAGTGGTGAGGATGCGGCGTGCGGGGATGCGGGGGGCCTCGGGCGCCCACCCTCCGAGGTTCTCTCGAGCGGGGCGCGGCCTACGAGAGCGGCCAAAGGGATGGACCGAGGAGGCAGGCATGCGAGGGTACAGTGAACACGTACGGCAGGTTCGTGTCGTGACGACCACAGCGTTGGTTTCTGACACTGCGTGAATCGTTCAACCTTGAACGATCGGCGGCTTTTCGACCGCCCGATCGTTCCATATAAGCCGATTCTGGGCCACTGGCGGCGTTCAACCTTGAAGGCCCTCGGCGGGGTCGCCGCCGGTCGACACGACGCGAACCTACCGTATATCAAGGACGGGCGGTAAGGACGCAAGACCCTTGGAGGCCGAAATCGGGATTTGTTGGGCGGCGGGCGACCAACACCCTAATGGAAACGGCAAAGGACGGGCCGCAGAAGCAAGGACACAGGGGTGCCCTAGAGAAGGCGCGTCCTTACTATGCGCGTTGACTGTACCCTTGGAAAGGTTGCCCATCCTTGCGATGCGGGTTGACTGTAATCCATACACCTGTGCGTCCTCGTCCTTTACGACGCCCCAGAGACCTGGGGCTCGTGCTCCTGGACTCAGGTCGGGCGCGTCCTCCTACAGGCGGGTTTTGGACGAGCGCTTCAATATAGCGAAATAAGATTCCATCGTCAAGAGTGGTGGACAAGCATCGTCCCCAGACTATGTTTGGCCTACTGTACTTTTGAATTTTCCTCCTGTACAGTCAGGCCCCTGCCAGAAGGAACGCCAAATAAGGAACGAACCCCTGTTTTCATAATCAAATAACAAATATGCAAGGAACGGCCGAGCCCCTTTTTGGAAGCGTTCCCTCATCGTTGCCTCTCGTTTTGACAGAGACCCCCCCTCTACCGAGACCTAAGGAACGGGTGCCCGCGGCACGCAACCCAAGGAACGCCGAGGGGGCTTCGTGACGCAATGGCCAGGGAACGCCAGCAGACCCAAGGAACTGCCGAGCCCCTTCCGAACCCGAACTGGACCTTATTTCATGGGCCTCACTGTAGAGGGACAGGCCCGACTTAATCCTGGACCCCCTCTCCCCGACGAGGGAGGCCGCCCGCCCGGGGCGTGCCTCATCCACCCGCGGCCGTGGACCATCATGGGCCACACCTCGGGGCGACTGGGGAGGAGGGGAGCCATGACCTCGCCATCGCTCGGACGCCCATCATTCCCCGTGCAGTTGATTCGGCTATTCGTGCGTTTGTTGTGTTCCTTCCTCCTGCTCCTCCTGCTCCTCCTGCTCCACCTCCACCTCCTCCTCCTCCTCCTCCTGCTCCACCTCCTCCTCCTCCTCCTCCCCATTATCCTCCTCCTCCTCCTCCTCCTCCTTCTCCTCCTCCTTGTTGCAAGAGGATCCAGGATGCTTCTCAATGGTCCTCGTCCAGGAAGAGATGCACGCGGCCGGGCGACGCCTAACGACCTGGAGGAGGGCCGGGGTCGAGACGGGGGCGGCGCTCCCGGCGTGTGTCGTCCCCCTTGGGCCTGGGCCTCCTCCTGCAACCTCCTCGGCGCGCCACGGCTGGATCCTCGCCGCAACGTTGGCCCGGACGCAGCCGTTGGCAACGTTGGCTCTCCCGCGCGGGTGGGCCGCCAGTGGACCGCCCGCGAGCGGGCAGAAAAGGTGCGTTTTCTGGAGCGCCGCCACAACAGCAACTCGAGGGGCCCAAAAACTTCTTTTGGAACACAGGTTCGGGATCCGCCCCAGGGCCCCGGAAGCGCTCCCCGTCGACATCCAGCTCGTCCCGGAGTGCCCTGTCCTCCTTGGCTCCGCGGCGCCGCCTCCCTCCTCCTCCTCCTCCTCCTCCTCCTCCTCCTCCTCCTCCTCCTCCTCCTGCTCCTGCTCCTCTCCTCCTCCTCCTCCTCCTCCTCCTCTCCTCCTCCTCCTCCTCCCTACCTCCCTCCTCCCTCCTCCCTCCTCCCTCCTCCCCCTCCTCCCTCCTCCCTCCTCGCTCCTCCCACACGCTCCCCTCCTCCCTCCTCCCTCCTCCCTCCTCCCTCTCCCTCCTCACCTCCTCCCTCCATCCCTCCTCCCTCCTCCTCTCCTCCTCCCTCCCTCCTCCTCCTCCCTCCTCCCTCCTCCCTCCTCCCCTCCTCCCGCCTCCCTCCCTCCTCCCTCCTCCCCCTCCCTCCTCCCTCCGCCCTCCTCCCTCCTCCCTCCTGCTTCCTTTTCCCGTTCCAGTTCCCCCCCACCTCCCTCCTCCTCCCTCCTCTCCCTCCCTCCTCCTCCCTCCCTCCTCCTCCATCCTCCTCTCTCTCCCTTCTCACCTCTCCTCCTCCCTCCTCCGCCTCCTCCTTCCTCTCCTCCTCCTCCCTCCTCCTCACTCCTCCTCCTCATCCTCCTCCTCCTCCTCCTCCTCCTCCTCCTCCTCCTCCATCTCCTCTCCTCCTCCTCCTCCTCCTCCTCTCTCCCTCCCCCTAAGCCTTCTCCTCCTGCTCCTCCTCCTCCTCCCCCCCCCTCCGGAGGTTCCAGGAGGTACGCCTAAGGTCGCCGGAAGAGAAACAAAACCGAAACATGGATCCTCGCGCCTCTCCTCTTCCTCCTCCTCCCCCTCCTTTCTCTTCCTTCCCCCTCTTCGCCCTACCCCTACCCTCTCACTCCTCCTCATCTGCTTCCTCCCCCTCCTCCTCCTCCAACTGGCTTTCAGGCCATAAACCGAACCCCTGCCGACCGTTCGGGCCGAATCGGGGACCTTGGAACGCCCTCTGCGAGGCGCGACTGGTGGGCGGCACCCCGCGGCAAGAAAACTTCCAGGAAGCAGCAACAATTCCACAAAACCTCCATCCACCAACCCGCGGGGCCGTCCTCCTCCTCCTCCTCCTCCTCCTCCTCCTCCTCCTCCGTCTCCTCCTCCTCCTCCTCCTCCTCCTCCTCCTCCTCCTCCTCCTCCTCCTCCTCCTCCTCCTCCTCCTTCTCCCTCTCCTCCTCCTCCTCCTCCTCCTCCTCCTTCCCTCCTCCTCCTCCTCCTCCTCCTCCTCCTCCTCCTCCTCCTCCTCCTCCTCCCTCCTCCTCCTCCTCTCCTCCTCCTCCTCCTCCTCCTCCTCCTCCTCCTCCTCCTCCTCCTCCTCCTCCTCCTCCTCCTCCTCCTCCTCTCCCTCCTCCCTCTTCTCCTCTCCTCCTCCTCCTCCTCCTCTCCTCCTCCTCCTCCTCCTCGTCCTCGTCCTCGTCCTCGTCCTCGTCCTCGTCCTGATCCTCGTCCTCGTCCTCCTCCTCCTCCTCCTCCTCCTCCTCCTCCTCCGCCTCCTCCGCGTTTGTGAACAACACAGAACTCGCCACGCGCGCGTTCTCGCGCGCGTGGCGTTTTCTGTACTGCCCACAGTGGAAAAGTCGCCATGCTGGCCTGGGAACTAAAGTGGATCGTCGCTCGAGGCTGGGCGGTCCACGCGGTGTCGAAACCAGGGCCTGCGTGGCCGAGGCAGGCAGTTTTTGTACTCGACACCCCCAACGAAACTGCTGCACAACCTCCTGCCTCCATTCCTGGGCGCCCCCAAAGCCGGCCAGAACGCCCAACAACGCATTGAAACCGACCTTCGTTTGATGGCGACTGCAGGTTCTGCTTTTCCACGCTGTTGTGAATCGCTGACACGGGCGCGATGACAACGTCGCTTCGCGGCCTGGGCCAAAGTTATTTTTCCGTTGACTCGGCGAAGGGCCGCAAGAATGCGAAGAAGGACCTACGCTTCGGGCGCCGCGCGGGGCGAAGCGCGAAATTTGGTAACCTAACTCGTCGGATTGTTTGGTTCGGGCTCCTGCCAAAAGCGAGCTTGCGGCACAGGGCGTTCCTGGGAGAATGGTGAAGAGTTGGCGCGCCTAGGGCCTTAACGGTGGCCGATTGGCTGTCAAAGTTGGTATGCGTTTTTCGTGCTCATGTTGCAAAGCAACCCATCGGGTTTTTCACGAACTATCATGCGGATGTCATGAGGTTTCCTCTGCACGTTCTAACGAATCGTATGGCTTGCCAAACGAATCCGACGGATTGCCTTCGGAACTCTGTAGGTTTCCTAAGGACGCCGGTGGGTTTCCTCATGCGTCCGATGGATTGCCCTACGGATCTGAGGGATAGCCTAAGGGATCATAGATATTCCCCAAGGTATCATGTAATTGCCTAAGGGATTCCCTAAAGCATACCGTGGACTTCCTGAAAATTCCCACAGATTTCCCAGGGAATCCTATGGGTTGCCTCAGGATTCCTACGGGTCTTTGGAGGAGCGCCACGTATTCCGTCATCCGATTGATTTCCTAAAAAGGTTCTTACGGATGTCCAACGGAAACCTGTGGATGACCGAATGGATCATAGGAATCCTATGGATGTCAAAAGGATTCCAGTGTTTCCTGAGCATCCCAATGGATGCCCGAAGGAATCCTACGGATTTGCTCAGGAAATCTTTGGGTGTCCCAAGGATCCCCATCGATGTCCTAAGGCGTCCTATGGATTCCTCACGGATTTCTATGTCCTATAGAACCCCATGGGTTTCCAAAGGGATCCTACGGATTTCCTTAAGGGCCCCCTTGGATTATCTCAAGCATATCGTAGATGTCCTACATATTCCTAGATATTCCCGGCGCATGAAATACATTACCTAAACAGTCATATGGGCTTCCGTGATTTCTAAGGAATCGCATAGCTTTTCCTAGAAAGGAACTTGTTTTCCTCGGGATTCCTATGGATTTCCCGTGGAAGCCTATGGATTTCCCAAGGAATCTTATGCATGGCCGAGGGGTTCCTCTGGATTTCATCCGGGATATTTCGGCAACTACAGTTGGTGCGGTGTGCGAAGGGTTCGGTTTGCCTCCCGTCATATCTGCCCCTCCCGCCTTCAGGAAACGGATGACACTGTCACTCAATGCGACCGAACCACATGACACTGTCGTTCCTTCTAATACAGCGGAGCACACATCGAGGATTACAGCGTCGCTCGAAACGACGACAATTATGACATTGTCTCTCACAAAGGCCCCAAAAAAGGCCGCCACAAAGCACTTCGCAAACCGCACCCCGGCGTAACCGCACCGATTGCAGTCGCCGCTTATGATAAATTCCCCAAGGAATCCGATGGATCGCCTAAAGAATCCAATGCAAGTCTGGAGGAATCCTATGGATTTCCGGGGAGTCCCATTTCTCTCGCGCCCCTTTCATTTGCAGGAAGACAAGCGCGCTTGCGCAGCGCGCCCCGCGCCCTCCGCCCGGGACTGCCAGAACTCTGATGGTACTCTGATGCAGCTCTGTTTGGGCTCTCGCCTGAAACTCTGATTCATCTCCGGTCTAGCTGAAACTCTGATTTGGCTCTGGCCTGAAACTTTGATTCACCTCTCTGGTTTAGCTGAAGCTCTGATTTAGCTCTGGTCTGGAACTCTGATCGAACTCTGATTTAGCTCTGGTTGAAGACAGAGCCGAATCAGAGTTAAATCAGAGTTCAGACCAGAATTAAATCGGAGCTTCGAAGAAAATCAGGTATGAAACAGAGTTACAGGCCAGAGTTGAACCAGAGCTTGATCAAGGAGTATTATTATAGTTGTTCGAATCTAACTTTTGAGGCTAGTTCGCGTCCGAAACACACACTCAAAGCTACGAAGAGGGCTCATGGGCCGAAGGCTTGAAGTGGGTGGATGACCAGCTCGAGCCCTTGGTCCAGCGCGTGCAGCAGCAGGCTTCGCGCTTGAATGCAATGAAGGCCCAGGCGGAGGCCTAAAGCGTTTTTTTCTGATAGCATGTTCATACATTTAAAGGTCGAGGCCTCAGAGCTTCGATCGAGAGCGGTGAAGTGGCTCATGCAACTGCCGCTTTGGCAAGGGATTTCGACAGAATGTGACAAGTGGTCGTGGGTAAAGGTCCCCTCCTCCTTCCTTCTTCCTCCCTTTCCCTCCTGCTGCTACTGCTCTTGCACTCCCTTTTCGTCTTCTTCTCTGCAATTTCTGGGTCGGGGGAGTTTTCTATGGATTTTCGCAAGATGTTCTGTGATTTCGCCGCTCCAAAACCTCCCGCGGCCAGCGAAAAAGGCCGGGCACCTTCCGGTACCTCCCCCCTCAAACCTGTGAAAAAACACAAAACGGGAGAGGCTCCCCGCGGGCACCTTTCGGGCTCCTTTCGGGCACCTTTCGGGTACCCTACGGCACCGCCCCAAAACGTCGCTGGGAGAGCGCCGACGCTCTCGAGAGGCCCTCGGGACCCTGAGAACCGACCCTCACCGAGAGGCTCCCGAGAGCCTCCTTGAAACTCTCGGAAGCCTTTCGGCGAGGGTTCGAGTTCCTCGATCGTCGGAGGGGGCAGGAGGGAGAGGGAGAGGAGGAGGAAAAGATGAAGGAAAATGAGAAAGGATGGAATTTTGTCAGTCTGACCACGCCCCGTCGCTCTGATTCAGTCAACGCGTTGAGGCTCGAGATTTTTGTTCAGCGCGAATGGGCCGACGAAAACGATTTCGGTCAACAACCCCAGAAATGCATCATATACGTCACATCCCAAGTTGACCATTGAAGGCGACGGGCGAAAAGTAGCGCCCGTCGCCTTATACATGGACGGCACTCGATATACGAGAACAACCATGGCAGGAAAGCAAGACTGGATGTTTGGAATCACTGCTTATAACCTCCACACCAGAAAGAAGCACTTGATATGTGCCTTGTCGAAGAAAAACAGTATGCAAGTGCGGGTGCAAGGGCATTGCACAATACAGCCCGACATGATGTTTATTACATGGAGCCTTTCATCTGCAACATCGGGTCTGAGACCTCAACTCCAATTCAATTGCGAGAAGTGGCCTGAGACGAGCCCCTACGGGGAACTTTCGAGGAGCAGCCCGCGTCTAGAGCATCGCTTCATTGTATACAAAAAACGACTGGATGGAATCTACAACGATATTCGGGTTTGCTTCTTGGGCTTCATTTCCCAGGCCGTGCCTATACTGCAAACTTTGCAAAACACATATGTACAACTACGATGCTATTTCGTTTCATGGGGACCCATGGAAAATCGGAGAAGAAATATTTGAAGACGAGTGCAAAGGGTGTGAATGGAAGTTGTGATCAGTGAAGAGGAGCATCGGACTGCGATTCTCGTCGGTGGAAGGTTGGATTTCTCCAAGCACACCAAAAATTGTGGCAGAATTCTTGGGCAAGCCGTGGTTGTGAACGGCGTCGCACTTCAAACATACGACAGGCTCGAACCGACGGAAGACCTTATTGGCATTGCATGCCTAGAAGATGTGTCACTACCAGAAACAGTAACGTCTTGGAGGACACCCTTGGACCAGAAGCGGCGTCTGCACGGCAAACTGACTCGTCGGTGCCCGGTTGTCGGGCCAGAGGTGAAAATCACGCCAGAATCCGTGGTCATGATAGACACACTGCGCACCTTGTACTTGGGCGTGAATCACAAATCTGTATGCGCTGTGGTGCGGCAGTGCTTGCTGTCTAACGTTTTCAACGCAACTTGAAGAGATGAGGCTGGAAAGCACAGTCTCGGCGTGTTCGGTGTATGGTATGATTTGCAGCAGTGGTACGATAAAGAAGGCATCTACACGAACATGCGATTGAATTCCCTCGTCCCTGCGATGCTCGGGAAGAAGACAACGCAATAACTGAAGACCAAAGCAGCCGAAACTGGCGCGCGTGTTGTCTGGGCCGCCGACTTAGCAAAGCGATTCGAAGGTATGATGAAGGACGACAACCTCTGCAACCGAGCTGGCGATCGGCTTCTGATGTTCATGGATATATTCAAGACTGAAGGCCGTCTCAAAGACATTGACAAGTGCGGGGAGTTGCTAAATCTAGCCTTGGAGCACGTTTCCTTGATGGAATACGCAAAGGTGCATGACGCACCACATTGTCACGTATTCATCCACTTGGTGCTGCGCATCCCGTGGCATTGGCCTTATAGCTCGATCAGGCGATGAGGAGGGAGATGAGGGAGAGGAGGAGGAGGAGGAGGAGGAGGAGGAGAAGGAGGAAGAGGGAGGAAGAGGAACAGGAGGGGGAAGTGGAGACAAGGTGGAACGATGAAGATTGATGACCCGCTCTCCGATCGGGGTCCTCCGATCTCCCGAGGTTTACCCCTTGGTGAAGTTCGCAGGCGCTGTGGCGCCAGTGCCTCGACATCCTCCTCCTCGTCCTCCTGTTCCTCCTCGTTCTCCTCCTTCTCACTCCTCCTCACTCCCCATCCCCCTCCTCCTCCTCCTCCTCCTCCTCCTCCTCCTCCTCCTCCTCCTCCTCCTCCTCCTCCTCCTCCTCCCCCACCTCCTCCCCCATTCCCTCTGAGACGTTCTCGAGATCCTCCTACATTTTCAAATCGCGCGATGGCTATCCCACCGCTACACTCTGCGGTGTAGCAACCCGAGGTCATACAGCACGTTTCTAAATGCGACGTTGAACCATTGGCTAGCCGAGATAGCATCGGCGTGCAACACTGGCAAAGCTTATTGGGGACGGGGGATTTTCCAACGAGTTCACCTCCTCCCTCAAATGATGCCACACCTTATGATTATACCCCTCCTCCTCCTGCTCCTCCTCCTCCTCCCCCATCCCGTCCGCCCCGCCTACTCTTAGGAAGCAGCGGGGCGAGGCGAAGAACTTGCGCGATGACCAGAAGGACCACCAGCCGAATAACAGAACAGCAGAGGCGACGGACTTGCACGACGACCAAAAAGACCGCCAGCAGAAGGAAAGACACATAGAACACGCCGGGGGGAAGCAGTCCAAGAGCGAGAAGAACAGAAAAGCATAAGAAGAAGACCAAAACGCAGAAGGAGAAGGAGCAACATAAAAAAAGACACACTGAACGAACAGAAACCAAGAGAGGACGCTGGAGGAGCTATGGAAGGCATTCCACTCGAGCGAGTAAGCTGCCCGCTGCCCCGTGGACGGCGGCGGCGGTGAGGCTCGCTAAAGAATCGGCGCCCCTCACCTCACCTCCGTGGAACAGCAGGGGAACGAACGCAAGAGGAAGGGAGGAAGAGGGACCACAGAGGATGAGGACCGAGAGGAAACAGAGAGGAAGGACGGACAGGGCGACGACGACAGAGGAAACCCAAGAGGAGGGAAACAGCAAAGGACGGTTCCTCCTCCTTGTCCTCCTCCTCTTGCTTCTCGCTTCCTCCTCCCTTATTCATCCTCCTCTGCTTTCCCTTCCTCGTCCTCCGCCTCTTCCGCCTCCTCCTCCTCCTCCTCTTCCCCGTCCTCCCCCTCCTGTTCCGTCACCACCTCCGCCTTTTCCTTGTCCTCCTCCTCCTCCTTGTCCTCCTCCGCGGCGCCGCTGCCGTTTCCCCTTCCTTTTTCCTCATCATGTTTTCCTCCTGTCTCGCCTCCCCCCTCCTTCTCCTCCTCCTCCTCCACCTCCTCCTCGTCCTCCTCCTCTTCCTCCTCCTCTCCCTCCCCCTTCCCTTTGTCCTCATCCCCAATTGCTTCCTAGAACTTTTCCTAGCCCTGACGGCGCGGCAACCGCAACAACGCCGCGACAACGGCCAAGCAACCCCCAACGGCCAGCAGCTCAACGACCGCACCCCAACCACGATGGCGCTGCCTCGCCCGCTCAGCCAGGTCGGCCTGCAGGCGCTTGACTCGCTCGCGCTCCTGGCGCTGCCTCTCGCGCTCCTGCCCGGCAAACAGCAGCTGCGTGCTAGCATGCTGCTCGAGCGCGTCGACATGCCCGCGGTCTCCTGCTCCAGGGTAGGGCGGCCGCGGGTCACCTGCAACGGCGTGCGTGGCCGGGGCGCACGAGGGTCCAGAGCTCGAAAACGCGGCAATCAAGCCTGTGCCAACGTCCTTGAATTAGATCGGGTGAATGGAAGACGTCTCGCCCCCCCAGGAATCTCCAAGCAACTCAAACCGAATCTTGCCGAGAGAGAAAATCTCGAACCAGATCTCAAACCAGATCCTGCCGCGAGAGAATCTCCAAGCGGATCTCCGATGAAATCATCTGAGACAATTTGGGGCCCGAGCAAAAACTCAAACGAAATCTTGCCACCGCTGAGTCCCGAACGAAATCTCAAACGACATCACGCCGCCGCCACATCCCAAACAACATCTCAAACGAAATCTCGCCTCTTGCCACTCCCCAACAAGATCTCAAACGAATTCTTGGGCGACCGGGAACTCAAACGCAATCTCCCCCAAAACGTGCTGGCCAAGCTTCGTGCCGCGCGCGGCGTGGTGGTCAAGCACAACTTCATGGTAGCCGAGTGCTTTGTCATCGGGGCAATGCTGATCGGAGCTGCGCGCGCCTTTGGAAGAAGTGCGCATTGCGGCGCGGATGGGCACTCCCCGCCCCTTGATCGAGCGACTGCCTCGGCCACGATGCTTGGCAGCGAGCCTGGAGATCGGCGCCGCACCGCCCACCGCGGGCACGGGGGGCCGGCAGGCCGCTACGTTGCGGGGCTCGCAACCACCATTCCCTGGGCGAGCCGAATATGGGCACCACTTCCGGCGCACGCGTGCGAGAATCGCCTGCGCCCGCGCGTGACCCAATCGGATCGGGTTCGGCTGTGCATTTTGGGCGGAATTGTCTCGGGGCGGGGGCGAACAGCCCAATGCTCATAACCATGCGCGTCACTAGTGGAACCAATTCTTGGAGGTAGCAGCCCTAGCGGACGTTAACAAAGTTGCCCCCCCCCCCCCTGGCCCCGGAGCGGTGCGGTAGCGTTTTTACCTAACAGCGAAGACTGATAGGTTTCTAATGGTGTCAAAAGAAAGCATCGTGACTCCTCAGGGGGGTCGGGGCGGGACCCGGGGCGGCTGCCGCCGAAACCCAAATCGCTTGGGACATCCTCGCAAGATCGCTCTTGGCGCTGCTAGAACTCCATTCCCGGCGTACATTTTGAATGCCCGGAGCCAACTGTACGCCACTTCGTGCTCTTCGACTTCCCGGAACTCCATTCCCGGCGTACATTTTCGATGTTCGGAGCCAACTGTAAGCCACTTCGTGGCCTTCGAGTTCCCAGAACTCCATTCCCGGCCACATTTTGGATGCCCGGAGCCAACTGTAGGCCACTGCGTGGTCTTCGAGTTTCCGAAACTCCATTCCCGGGCTACATTTTGGGTGCCCGGAGCCAACTGTAGGCCATCGAAAGCAAATGATCATTCGAATCTACACCCATTGAGGACAGTGCGTAGTTGGTACTACAACTACTACTTCACTGCAACCACTACCGTCACTGCTACTTTTACTGCTACTACTACTGTTGCTGTTGCTGCTGCTGCTGCTGCTGCTCCTGTAGGTATTGCTACTGCAACTACTGGCAATGCCATTGCGACTGCGACTGGGACTGATGTTGCCACTGCGACTGCCACTGCGAATCCGAATGCGACTGCGAGAACAAAATCAATCTACACCAGCACTCCTACATGAATACCATAGGCAATGCTTCCAGCTATGCTTTCACACGTCGCTGTTAGGTTGCTTTGCCGGGATAATTGTCTTGGGGGTGGTTGCAGTTGGGGCTGCGCGCGTGGTGACTTGCTATGGGCCCCTTCTTCGCCCTCCTGTTTAGCTCTCCCCTCTCCTCATGCTGCTTACTCCACTCCTCCACGACCTCTGGCTTCTCCTCGGCAACCTCCGCGGGCACCTCAACGCTGAAAGTTCCTGGTAGAGACTGCCCGAGTTGCTGCTGCCCCAGCGGCCCCTGCTGCCCCCCCTGGGCCGGCGGTGACCCCATTGGCCCCTCCAGGGCAGTTGAAGGCGACGTGCCCCTTACCGCCGCACTCAAAGCATGATCGCTCGCTGTGGGGCACAAGCCCTTGGCCTCATTTACCTCCTCCTTTAGCTCCTCTGTTACCTCCTCCTGTATGCCATCCTTGGTAACCTCTTATGCCGCCTTTGCCTCCTCCTGCATGTCCCTTGTAACTTTTCTGACCTCCGCGTCCTCCTTTGCCGCCCTGGCCGCCTCGGTAACCTTTTGTAGTTGTTGTTGTAATTTTAGTGGCAACCTCTGTTTTGGATTCCTTCGCCGGTCTTTCCCCCTCCTTTGCCTCCTCCATGACTCTTGCCTTTGGCAACTCCTGTGTTCGGGCAGTTGCGGCCGATGCGGCCTTCAACTCACGGGGGGTCCGGCGCAAAGGGTGTCCCACGGGAACCACCGTGAGGCCTCGCCGCCCACGGCGGGCTGCGACCGGCTAAACTGCAGCCGCTTTCGCGTGCTCGGGGGGTCGAGCGGAGGGCGCCCTAGGGGCGCCGCCATGGCACATCGCCGTCCCTGGCGGGCAGCGGCTTGGAAACAATCGCCAATGCCGCGGGGCCCTGGGAAGCCCGGCGGGGGGTGCCCCGCGCGCGCCAGCGTAGACCTCGCCGCCCTTGGGGCGCCGCTATCTGCGACAACGCCGCCGCTGACGTGGGCCCCGGAAAAACACCAACGAAATGGCCCCCTTCGGTGACCACCGTGAGACGGTGCCGCCCCATGGGGGGGGCAAAAGAGATGGGGGCGCAGATGGGCGCGCGGCCACGGGGCCCGCGGGCGGGCGGTGGCGCGAGCACCGCGGCCGCGCCGCCTGGGCGCCCCAGCAACCCCAATAAGCAAGAGAGGCACTAGCTGCGCTTTCGGCCTGTAGAACCCCCATGGAAGCGCGAGCTGGGCAGCGGCGCCCGCCTCCCGGGCAGCGCGTCTAAATCGAAGCATTCGAGGCCGCGCCCGCCCTTCCCGCCCGCGGCCCGCGGCGCGACGGCCGCGCCAAGCCGAAAAAAATGCGGGCGGGGCCGCGGCGGCAGGGGGCTCCGCGGGCGCGCGCCGAGGGCGACCACCTCGACATCGGCGCTTCAGCGCGCGCGGGCGCGCGCGCCCACTGCAACTGGCGGGCGCGCGCGCGCGTAGGAGCTGCGCGCGGCCATGGCGCGCGGAGGGGCGCCTCGCCAGGCCCGCGCCCCACCGCGCATTGGGCGACCCCCTCGCCTTCGCGCGCCGCGCCGCGGCGCGCGGTTATGCGGGGATCTATCGCGGAGGCATGGCGGCCGCGCGAAAACTCCCCAGGGTGATCTCGGGGGGCCGCGGCGGGCGCCCCTGCGCCATATCCCCCGCCGCCCCAGTCCGGGCGACCCGCGCCTTCAAGAACCTTGCGGGCCGCGCTGCCCGTGGGGCGCGCCACCCGCAGAGCGCGCCGCCCGCGGAGCGCGCCTGCCAGGCGCAGCCCCCCCGAGGGCCGCGCGGCGCCCGCCGGGCTGGCGAGGGCAAGGGCGCAAACCAGGAGACTTCGCCGAAGCCGGTGCGAAACGTCATCGCGACGCCTTCGCGCGCGCGCCTGGGCAGACGCCCGATCGCCCGCCTGGAATGCCTGGCCCCCCCCCGGGCATTCTCTGAGGAACCGTCGCCGCATCCAATCCCAGTCGGACATTCCCAAGGCAACCGCGGGCAATGTCACGGGACATCGCGCCCCTCGGAAACGCGCCCCAGGGGGTCTCCATGGCAAATCCCGGAAAAAATCCCGGATAATCTTGCCCCTCGGAAATCTCCGTGGAAATATCCCGGAAATCTTGCCCCTCGGAAGTATCCGAGGGAATCCCCCGGAAAATCTGTCCCCCCCGGAACTCCCCCTGTAAATGTACTCGGAAATTATTTGTTTTCGATTTATTGGTTCCAAACAAAAAATGCGCCCCTCGCAGAAACCTCCGGCAATTCCCAGAGACATCCCCCTCACGCGCATCGCTTCAAAATTCCCAGCACATCCCGCATGCCCGAACAACGACCCCAGCAAGCCCAAAGAAATGCCCCGGGACATCTCCCGGAAAATCGTGTGCCTCGGAAATCTCAATGGATATCTCCCCGGAAATCTCGCCCCATCGGAAATCTCCGTCGAACTCTCGGGCGCCCCCATGGAAATGCAAGACGCACCCTGGATCTCCCCCGGAAAATCTCCCGGGGCATCTTGCCCCTGGGGAATCTCAAAGAAATCGCCAGAGAAATCTTGCCCGTCGGAAATCTCTGTGGACATCGCGCAGGAAATCTTGCCTCTCGGGAATGCCATCATAAATGTGTCAGGAAATACTTCGTCGCGCCCAATTGAAAATCTCTATGAAAATCCCCCGGGAGAGCTCACCGAAAAGAGCGCCCCCTCGGATGCCCCCATGGGCAGCCTCCGGGGGCAATTCCGACCTTGAAGCGGAAATCTCCAAGGCCCCCCCCCCCCCCCGGACCCCCGCGAGCCCCCCCAGACCACGGCTGGATCTGGCGAACTTTATCCAATGAGTCGGGCCCTGCGAAAAACGCCCCCTGGTTGACTCCAAAGGAATCCAACTGGATTGCCGCCGCAATCCTCGACTGGCGGGCGGCGACAAGCAGCGATTACTGGGAGTGAATCTGGCCGGAATCAGCGGGGGGCGGGGCCGCGGGAAAATCTTCGTATACCTTCGGCAGAGGCCGCGGGAGAGCATGCCCTCGAGGGAACTGCAAGAACACTTCGCACGTGCCCTTCGGCCCCCTAGCGCGGCCCGTGGACGCGGGGCCGCCCCGCCCCCATCGCGCCCGGCCCCTCCGCGGACCGCGCGGCCGCGCGAGCACGTGCGGGCGCCGCCGCAGAGCAGCCGAGCGCCCCGGCCTCTTCCACCACATTCCGCCAATACGCGGTTCGCCCCCCTCCCGCGCCCGCGCGCATGCAGGCGCCCGCGGCGAATTCGCCGGGGCCGCCACTCGCGCGGCCTGGCGCAAGATGCCCCCCCCATCGAAGGTGGCCCCGCGCCCCGAGCGAGCGGCGGGCCCGACCCGCCAAACAACGGCGCCGCCCACGCGCCGCGGCCCGCGGCCGCCGCGCGCGCGGAGCCGTCGCGGGCCCCGTCGCCCCCGCGGGCCCCATCGCCCCCGATGGGGCCGCCCTGGGCGGCAGCCCCATCGCCCCCGCGGGCGCGGCCCACATCGGCTCCGAAAATGAGCGCGGGGGCGCGGCGCGCGGCGGCCCCGCCCCCCGCCGCGCGCCACCGCGCGAATGCACAGCACGCGGAATACGGTCAGAGCCAGGATAAGGACGGACAGCGCGATTCAAGGCACCAGGGCACCCTTCCCTCTTGGACCTGACATTTGCCACTTCTGCTGGCCAGCCCCTCACAGCGTCCGCGGGGCACGCCGCGCGCCGCGGCTGCGCGGTGCGACGCCCCTTCGGGCTGAGCCCTAAGGATGCGCGATGGGCAGGGTGCCCCGCGCCGCCCTCGAGCACTCCGTCGCTGCGTCGCCGTCGAGGGGGGCCGCGTTCTAGGGGATGTGCGATGGGCAGGGCGCTGCGCGCGGTCCGTGCCCTCCAGCTCGCAGGTGGGCGCGGCCCCGCTGACGCGATATTAGCGGGGCGCCCTGGGCCATGGGCCGCCCGCGCCCCCCCCCCTCGACGGGGGGCCGCGGCCCCGGGGATGCGCGGCGAGCTGGGCGCCTGCGCCCCCCCCCCCCCCCCCCTCGCACCGCCGCCGCCGCCGCCGCGCCGCCGCCGCCACCGCCGCGCGCGCGCGCTCCCACGCACGCGCGCGCGCACACACACACAAACACGCGCACACACACACACACACACAAACACACACACACACACACACCGCACCACCGCACCACATCACACACGCACCACACACCGCGCGAATGAATGAACGTCGCTAGCAATAATAGTGCCGCCGCGCCCTCAGGCGGGAGTCGAGGCATATGATAATGCCGTTGTCGATCTGCCCCCAACAGCCGCAAACAAAAAATGGCCCAGACCGCGGCGCGGGGAGCAGCGGGGGGCGGCGACGGCGAGCTTTTTAAACGAAGACTACCGCGAACAATGGCACTAATGTGCAGAGCCTAGCATAAACGAACTACCAACGCCAACATGTGCTTAGAAGTGGCGCTGCGAAATGTAGTGTGTGGGCCCGGGCAATCATAATCATCAGCAGAATCCATTGCGCGGGCCCCGACAGTCATAATCGCAATGCATCAAAAGCAAAATTCAAATAATCGACCCTGGTCTGATATACCCTGTGCTCACCTGTTCTCGCCAATTCCAAGACCCAAGACGTCCTACACAATTCAGAGACATCCTAATCCGCATCATCGGGTTTGACACGGATTCTTTCTGCGAGGTCCTTTCGTGGAGGACAACGATAGGACTCCAGTTGTGGAGGCGTGCATGAATATTCTTTTTGCGGCAGGTTACAATAGGATTCCTTCAGCGGCGGGTTTCAATAGGACGCCTTTTGTGTCCGGTTTGAATTGGACCCTTTGTGTAGGATTCCGTTTATGGACGATGGCAATAGGATTCTTTGTGTGGAAGACTACAATATGATTCCTTGCGCTTCGGATTTCCACAGGATTCCCTTCGTGGAAGATTACAAAGGGATTGTTTAAATGTTTGATGAAAATAAGATTCCATTTGTGGGGGAATACGCTAATATTCTTTTTGTGGACGGTTAGACTAGGATTCCTGTTGTGGGGGATTACAGTAGATTTCCTTTTGTGGCGGATTTCAATAGGATTCCGTGTGTGGAGGCTGACATTCGGATTCCTTTTGTAGAGGGTGTCGATAGGATTCCATGTGGATTTTACAACAGGATTCCTCTTGTGGACGATTACAATGGGGCTCCGTTTATAAAGGATTACAATCGGATTCCGCTTGTGGAGGGTTACAACAAGATTCGTTATGTAAAAGGATTAGAATCGGATTCCTTGTGTGGAAGATTACAGTGGGATTCCGTTTGTGGACATTCTCGCGCGGGCGGAATGTCCAGGAGATTTCGCCAGAGATTTCTACCTGAAGGGGGCTTCCCCGAGATTTCGTCGGAGATTTGGCCGGGATTCCTAACCTCGGGGGGGTTGTCTGGAGATTTCGTCGGACATTTCGCTGGAGATCTCCGCTGCCGGAGATCCGAGGGGCCCCCACCACTGCTGCCGGAGACTCTGGGGGGGAATTCTGGGAGAATTCTGGGAGATTCCTGGGGGAGCGAGAGGTCTTCATACACCCGATTTAATCCTTGAAGTACAAGATGGTTACGCGCGCAGGGTCGTAGACAGCGTACACGTCGTGGCCGTTGATCTTGACCGAATCATATCCGGCCGAAAGAACCACGCGCATGTTCACGGTGCCCTTCTCCACGTGCCACACGCGCCCCAGGTCCACGTCGCAAATGACGATCACGGTAGGCCTGCCCGGACACTTCGCCTTGCGCACCGCGCCAGCTTCGCCCTGCGAGAAGTAGATGCCGCCCCCCGCGAAGCCCCGCTGGCCGCAGCGCAGCGCCCCTGTGTTTTTTTATACCGTCCGCGTTCTGCTGGTTGGTGGCGTGGTGCAGCCTCATGGGCGCCAGAGGGGCTCTGGGTGCACGGTTTCCCCCGGGTCCGCAGGCGACCCGAGGAGGAGGAGGAAGAGGATGAGGAGGAGGAGGGGGAGGAGGAGATGAAGGAGGAGGCGGAGGAGGAGGAGGAGGAGGAGGAGGGAGGAGGAGGAGGAGGAGCAGGATGAGGAGGAACAGGGAGGGAAGAGGAGGAGGACGAGGAGGGAGGAGGGAAGAGGAGGAGGAGGAGGAGGAGGAGGAGGAGGAGGAGGAGGAGGAGGAGGAGGACGGGTCGCCCAAGCCCTTCGGAGAAACCCTCCAGCTCTGGGAGGCTGCGGCGGCCGGGCGCGACCACGCCGCGGTGCGACGCCGAAGCTGGCGCTGGCAGCTCGAGCCAGGACAGCCGCAGAAGGAGTCGCCCAAGCCTCGTGTTCTGCACTTCCCTCGCGCTCCCCCGCCGCCCCCGCACGACCCCCGCCACCTCCCGCCAGCGCTCCGGAGGGGGGAGGCCCCGCCCCAGTCAGGGGCCGGCCCTCCCTCCACTCCATCCACTCCGCCTTGGAGCGCTGGAGACAGGGAGGGGGAGAGAGGGGGGGACCAGGTCGCTGCGCTTTTGCCGCCTGCTGCATTCGGCGGCGAGCGAGGGAGGGAAGCGAAAAGGAGAGGGCCTTCTCGGAAGGTTCGGAAGGCCCCTGGCCTTCTGATGGTTTTCTAAGCCTTCCACGAAGGCACAAAGAACCTCTCAGAAGGCGCGAGGGCTTCTGAGAAGTGCCGCCGCCTGCTGAGAAGGCCTTCTCCTTCTCATGCCCCCCCCTCGCTCGCTCCTTCTGTAAACACAGAAGGCACAAGACATCATAAGTCCTGCTGTGAGAACTCGTGGCGCACATGCTGCGACGCTCTCTGAAGGCTCCCTGAGGCGCCCCAGATCTCCTGTGTCCCTACAGGGCCGCCCGGGGAGGAGCAAGAGAGCGAGGCCAACACCGCCGCCCCCCGGACCTCTCCCAGGGCGCGCGTCCTGGCTGGGATCTCGAGCAGAACCCCGCCGTGATCACGAGGGCTCTCCAGGACGTGATGGGCAGATTTCCCACCACAGTTACCAGATGTAGGAGAGGGAGGAGGAGGAGGAGCAGGAGGAGGAGGAGCAGGAGGAAGAGGAAGACCGAGAAACCCAGGAGCACGGAGCCCACCGAAATCGGCCCGGAACCAATGACCAAGAACCCGGGAACCCGGAACCAGGAATTCGGGAACCCAGCCAGCTACCGAAAGCGGCGGGAAACCTTCGCCTAATCTTTTTCAATGTCCGCTAGGACCCCTTCAGCGCAAGCACCGATGGGGGAACGAGTCAAACAAGCACAAACAATAAACAACCAATAATCGGGGAGACGTAAGACCCGGCGGGTACGGGGGACTCGGGAATCCCCGACGAGGTCGTCAAAAAAATGACGAGGCCGAGCCTGCATTTTGACGAGGCCTCCCGCTGCAGACATCCCACGAAACTCCTCCTCGTCAAAATCCGAGGCGCGGTCGTCAAAAAACGATGACGAACCCGAGTCCCGGCAAACCCGGGTCTTACGCTCCCCCGAAATAAGAGAAACACCATCCCCCGACTGTTCTCTGACTCTTTCTGGATTCCTCCTGTAGGGGAACAGACCCGACTTGACGCGAGGCGTTGGCCGCGAGGGGGGGGGGTCCTGGTGGCCGTGCGGGCCGCGCGTCGTGCAGCGCGGGCCCGCGAGGATGCCACCCTGGGGCACACGGCGCGCGGGGCTGAACCTCCTCCTCCTCCTCCTCCTCCTCCTCCTCCTCCTCCTCCTCCTCCTCCTCCCCCATCCTCCTCCTCCTCCTCCTTCTCCTCCGCCTCCTCCTTATCCTCCTTCCTCTTCTCCTCCTGCGGGTGCCACGTTAACCAGGTTAACGCTTCCCGGGGCTGGATGCGTCATCGTTTCGCCGGAAGGGGGGCGGGGTCCTTCATGGCGTCATGGGGTTAGTGCAGACCTGCCCCTGGGCTTGGCGGGCGAGGAGCAAGATCACACGCCCTCCTCCTCGATCGGGGGCGCCCGTCTCGAAGGGCAAGGTCGAAAATCGGCTCACGTAGCTGGTTTCCTGGTGCCTCCAGGCGCCGGAAGGCGCCCAGGTATCGACGGTAATGGGCCCGGCGGCGGGGCCGAAACCAGCTGCATGCAGCATTTTTTTCGCCCGCCCCCCCCCTTCCCTACTCCGAGTTTCTTAATATGCGTCGGGGGGGCGTCTCCCCCGCCGACAGCCCCACATCGAGCCCCGTCGCGGGCAGCCACCGCGCGCCGAAGGCGCTCCGACCCCCGTCGCGGCGCGACGACGAGGCGAATTTGACCCCGTCGGGGGGGTACCCCCCTCCACGCTTAGCAAGAAACCCAGAATAACCTACCCTTTCGTCCTGCCTGAGTTTGGCGGGCGAGAAACGATGTAAAATCACATCTTCCTCGATCGGGGACGCCCGTCCCAGGGGGGCTGGAAAGTTTCACCAAAAGGGTATAAACATCTCAGCCGCACTGGGACAGACAGGCGTCCCCGAACAAGCTCGGCGGTGGACAAACCTCCCTGTAGAAAAACCTCCCTTTAGTGAAAACGGCCTGGGACCGAAACCGAAGGACCTGGACCCGCAAAAATGGCGGCCGCGACGCCCACTCGCGAACCGAAAACGGCCTATTCGCGAATCGACGTGTCAAGGCAGGAGGTCGATCCACCTCCGAATACCGTTTTTGGGCCCGCTATTTGGGGCGGCTGAGCTGCTGCCGGTCATCGGCGGATCGCGCCCGGGCGGGAAGGCAGAGGGGACGGGCCTTCTCGCACGGCTCACGGATGGCCTCTGGCCTTCGGAGAAGGCTCTCCCGAGCCCTCGCCAAAGACGGGAGGCGGCCTGTCAGGTCGGAGTCGGAGGGCTTCTAGGAAGGCTCGCCTTCCCGTTGCACTTCCCCACCTCGGCGCGCCGCCGAGGTCTGGAGCCTTGGATAACAAATCACGCGCGGCGAGAGTCGGATGCTCCCCCTTGGGGCCTTCTTGGCGCCACTCGCTCCACTCGTGCCTCGATGGTGCGTCTGGCGTCCGTCGACTGGAGCCTGTCCGTGTGGCCCAGCATGGGGTCGGAGCAGCTGGGGTCGGAAGACCGCGCCGCATCGCGCATCGCCGATACATCGGCAATGCATCGGCGATGCGGTGCGATCCTCCGACCCCAGCTACTACGGCCCCATCTAGGAAGCCTGAAGCCTGGAGAGGCCCCCCCAACAAACATCCGCGCCCTCGAGGTCTGAGCTCTGGGGGGCGATACCGTGGACACTCGGTCGCACGGAGGACTTCCGGCACGGGGCAATGGCGAAACTATGCCCCGCGCCCTCCTGGCCGCGGCCCAGGAGGCCCCGCCCGCGAGGCCGTGGATGCGGGTACCATGTCCGCCCACGAGATGCAGTGGAAGCCCGCCCACAAGAAACCTTCCACAAGAGACCCAAGCATGAGACCCCAGCGCGTGCATCGACTTGTGCTGTGGGAGCCCCACGCTTCCCATCGCAACCCAAGAGATCCAGGGCACCCTGGAGGCAAGCAGGGTGTTTCTTGGCGTGGGCCTCCACTGTAAAGAACGACCTCTGGTTTGGACCCCACAGAGCTCGGCTGCACGAGGAGCGCCCGATGAGCGACAATATCTAGAGAACGATGTAAAAAAGGAGCGCCGAGCCCATTCCGAACCTGGACGGTTCCTTATCTTAACGTGGCCGTATACAGCAAAAACGTGGCTCGACCACCACAATGCTTCACATGAAAATGTGTGTCAAACGGAATCGTTCCCCGGTGCTTAGATGTGCTGAGGCCCCCAAACCCCCAAGACCAATGTTCATCGAATCGAGAATTCAGATCGAACCGAAACGTGCCTCGAATCGGGCTGCATCGGCACGGAATCGGAATATAATCGGATTGGCCGCAACAAGACCCATCTACGTTTTGCACTCATCGGACTGCATCTCATCGCCAGAAAAACGTAATCGAATCGGGTCGAGGCAAGCGAACTCGGCATCGAACTGGATCAATCCAATCGAAGTGGGCCCTGACAACCTTCTCCCAGAAAGCCTCAAACTGCCCCGAGATACACCTGACGTGCTCTGGGACATCCCGAAAACATGTTCAAACGGCAAAGTCACGTCGCGATGCCGTCGGAATTGGCTTCTGACACCGCGTGGATCGTTCAAGTTTGATCGATCGCGGCTTTCCAACAGCGCGCTTCGTTCGATCCTGGCCGATTTTCCAGTCAGCTGACGGCGTTCACAACCTTGCACGCCCCAGCAGCGGCCGCCGCAGGGCCGACACGCGGGGCGAAGCTGCCGTAGGTCTCCACCTAAAATTCTCGACCCGAGGGGTCGGAGCCTTCAGATGATGTAAAGCGTTTCCCCTCACAAACGAATGGTTCGGGACTGCGCTCGGATATCCCACATAATCCCATCGAAGATCCAGGATCTGGAAGGGCAAATACCTCGGATCGGACATCTTGTCAAGGATCGAATTAGCCAGGCCTTACCGGGACTAATCCGCCACCGTGCCGCGAGGTACGAGCTAGAGAATAGAGAGTTCTCCGTCCAGGGGCCCGGACCCAAATTCACGGATCTTCAAGGGCGCGGCGCGTGCTGGCGCGTGTTGCCCTGGCTTTTCCGGTGGTAAGACGGCTCCAGGACGAGTCGCGAGGGCCCTAAGGTGATTAGACATAAAAAGACCCCTAACCAATTGGGAGGCGACCTAAGTTGGGAGGGCCAGGAATATTAGGAATAGGGGTCTGTGCTGCAGATGTATCAGGCCACTCCGCCCAGATGTATAATCCTTAATGCGAAGACGGGGACCTAAGTAAGGCCATGTCTTCATCGTGTTCTGGGGTTGGGGGTTCTTTGTTCGCGATGACAAGGGGCCCCCAAGATGGTCCAGAAGGCCTCCGAGACGGCCTGGGAGGTCCCAAGGACGTCCCATGACTGCTGCAGGAGGCCCCCCAAAAGGACCCCGAGAGGCCGAACGCGAACCTGCACGTCGCGCCCTCCGCCGCAGGAGGGCCCCCGAGACCGACAGCAGGCCCCCGAAGAGGCCCCCCCCCGTGCAACGGAGACCCCGGGAGGCCCACATCAGTCAGGGGATCTGCTGACCCGAGTCAGTCCAGACCCGGGTCAGTCAGGCCCTGCAGACTCCTGCAAGATCCTGGAAGATCTTGCACACAAGCCCGGGTCAATGCGAAGGATCCTGCAAGATCCTGCACCCAAACCCGGGTCAATGCGACCCCGGCCCTGCAAAATCCTGCAAGATCGGGCGCTCTGGCTGACCCCCGTCTGCATTGACCCCCGTCTCAAGGCTCCCGAATCAGGCCCCCCGAGGCTTCCGCGAGGCCTCCAACGAGGTCGCTACACATAGCCAAGAGGCATCTGACTGACACACAACCCAGGCGCAGTGGCGGGGTGGGCCGAATGCCATTAGACGCATGCCTTTTCTGTTGCATGAATTTTGACCCCGCGCCCTCCTGTAAAATCCCCCCCGCGTGCATCCAGAGGGTTAACGGGATCGAGGATTGAGGTTCCTCCGACGCGTTTTACCCTCTTCCCGCCTCAAAGGAACTTCTCGTCGCCACGGCTGGATCCGCCTCGAATTCCTTGCCAGAAAACGCCCCAGGACAGGTCCAGGGCTGAGAAGGAGGAGGTCAAAGAGGAGAAGGAGACGGAGGGAAAAGGAGGGATGGTGTTGATGAGGAGGAGGTGGAGGAAGAGCAGGAGAGGAAGGGAAGAGGAGGGGGAGGTCGAGGGGGGGAAGGACGAGGAGAAGGAGAAGGAGGAGGAGGAGGAGGAGGAGGAGGAGGTGGTCGAGGGGGCGGAAGGAGGAGTTGCACGCACACGTGATGTCGTTACTTGTGTTTTTTTTTTGGGGGGGGGGGCTCGTGATGGAGCTCCTCGTGGCCACGCTGGACGCAACTCGAAAAACTGGCCAGGGCCGCGTCTGGGAGGGGCCAGGGAACCGATTCCAAAATACTTCGGAATCGGTACCCTACTGAGGATCGGAGGATGAAGGGAGGATTCGGTTGATGGATGAGAGTTCGGTGGCAACTCTTCGGAGGGAATCGGTTCCCTATGGAATCGGTTCCCTATGGAGGGATGGTTCCATTTCAAAATGAGATCGGGGGATGGAGGGAGGGTTCGGTGGAAACTCTTCGGAGCCTCCCATATCATGTTGTCGGCGTTTGCGAATCAACGCTACATCGACGCTACATCGACGCTAATCGACGCTAGTCGACGTTACATCGACGCGAATCGACGTTAACCGACGCTAAATCGGCGCTGTCTCACCGATTCCCAAACGCTAATCGAAGCTAAAAACGGAATCAAGATGGTATACCATGCTCCCATGATTTACGACCGAAAAATAGAACAACAACTGCAATCGAGACTGGTTGCAAGCAGCCGGGAGGACACTCTTCCGTGAGCAACCCTTGCTCCAGACATGAAGAGGACACGAGACGCGGCACACAGGGCGCGATGGTGCTCTTGATGTTGCATGGCTGACCTACTACTCAGACGCGACTGTTAGAACGCAATCAGATGCGTGAAGGCTACCGTCAGGTGGGGACTGGCCTTTAGAACGAAAGACCGCGGCGTTAACATGATCGCCTCATTTTGAACACCACCTGTGCGCCATCCTTTCAACTGCTGCAAGCCGTTATCAAACTTCCCGCGGCGTTATGGCGAGAGCACCATTTTGAAAACAACCTGTGATCCGTACTCGTAACTGTTGCGAACGTACGGGGGAAACCCTATTTTGAAAACCACCTGTGATCCGTCCTTGGAATGGCTGCACGCTTCGGAGACGGGATTTGCGCGGCGCTGAGGCGAGAACCCGATTTGGAAAACGACTTGTGATCCATCGTGCTAACTTATCGCTGCTGCGAATTTTAAGCCTTTAGACGAAACGCCCGGCCCGCCCTCCCCACACATCTGGGGGCGCGAAAGGGCGGATTTATGTATGCGGATGGAAGGCCTGAAGGGAGGGGAGAAGGGACTGGGAAGGCTTTGGGAGGTCGGGGATAGGACGAGGGGGAGGGTGAGAACGAGAAGGATGAGGATGGTGGTCGCGGAGCGGGCGCTTCCTCAGGCTCCAGGCCGGGGTCGCCAAATATGCGCCGGTGCATGCCGAGCATCGCGATCACCAGGAGCCAACCCGTGACGAAGATTAGCCTTCTGCCGTCCGCAGTGGGGGAAGACTGCTAACTACGCGAATCGCTTGTCGGAGCCTTCGGCAGGAGAAAAAAAGCATGTGTGCGGGGGCGCAAACGCCGCGCACGTTGTAGCATCGGCCACCGACTGGGCAATAGGAGCCAAGCAGCCCAGGGCTTCCTTCCAGGGCGGCCTCGTGTTTTGACGTTTGCGATGGCAGCGAGATCCCGGCGCTCAGACCACCAGTCCCAAGCGCTTCTTTGCACGTGGGGGGAATGTGTCCAAGATGGCCGGGTCGCCCTCCCAGACGGCCAGTTCGCGGAATGGCGCGCGTTTGTCTTCACTGAAACTGGTAGTAGGCACTCCCATGCAAGCGCCGACGTCTCTCTCTGCCGAAAACAAACATACAGAGCCACCGATGCGCATAGCACTTCGATCACTACACGTCGCACTAAACTGACCACTGTGAAGGAATGCCGAGCCCGCGAAACGCAAAGCGTTCCATGCCTCACTCCCTGGACGTCGCCTTGAATCGAATACGCGCTGTAGAATCCCACCAGCCTTCTGGGCGTCGGTGGTTTAGAGCGTTTCCTCTTCCACCCCTCCTTGTTGCCCGTCGGGGAGGGGTTTACCCCTCCCCCCACCCCCTCCCCATGGACCTGGACGAAGGGTTTCGCGAGGTGTCGGAGCGTCCAAAACGGCCCCGGCGAGGAAGCCACAATCATTAGTTTTAGAACGGTTTTGGCCTCATTTTGGCCTCCTGAGGGGGGGGCCCTAATTAAACACCCCCCCTCCTGTGATCGATCTCACCCAAGATGGCCCAAATATGGCTCCCAAGGCTCCCAAGAGTGCCCCAAGAGGGCCTCAAGAGGTGGCCAGGAAGCCCCAAGAGGCCCCCAGGATGCCTCTCCTCCTTCTCCTGCTCCTCCTCCCCCTCCTCCTCCTCCTCCTCCTCCTCCTCCTCCTCCTGCTGCTGCTCCGCCTCCTCCTCCTCCTTCTTCTCCTCCTACTCCTCCTCCTCCTCCTCCGCCACCTCCTCCTCCTTCTCCTCCTCCTTCTCCTCATCCTTCTCCTGCTCCTCCTGCTGTTCCTGCTCCTGCTGCTCCTGCCCCTGGAGTAGTTCTGCGCCCCAGAGCCCGTCTCGGGGGACCCGGGGCGCCCTGATCGAGGCACGGCGCCTGGGCGGCCCGCGCCCTGCGCAGCCCCACCGCCCGCCGGCCCTCCAGAGTCGCTGGGAGGCCGGGGGCAGGGCTCGGACTCCGCCGCGCGCTCGGCGACGTCCGCGCCCTGCCCCTCCGCCGCTCGCCGAGCTGCCCGAGCCGCTGGCCGGCGAGGGCAGGGCTCGCGCCTATGGTGTGCGCACGTCCTGTCGTCGGAGGCCCGGGCCCCTTTGGGGCCACCCGCGCTGCCCGTGGCGTAGGGATCCAGGGCGTCCGGGAGGGGGGCTCGCAGAGCATGGCCCGAGGCATGTGCGCGGACGAGGGGGGGGGGTACAGTCGGGGCGTTGACCTAAGGAACCCAAAATGAGGAACGAGGCCCCTTTTGTCCATGAGTTAAACTTCGATGTCCGATCGAAAGCGTAAGGAAAGCCTGAGGCAAGCTGCGAAACACTTAAGGAACGCGGAGCCCCTCCCCAACGAAAAGGGTTCCTTCTTCAGCGCCCCGACTGTAGGGGACGCGATGTGGCGGTGCGCACAGGGGGGTGGGGGGGGGGGGGAGGGCTTCGAGGGAGGCTGCTTCTGAGAAGGCGCCGGACGTCCATGCATAGACAAGGCCCGCGCCTTCTAAGGAGCAGGTGCTTCTAAGAAGCCCTCCCCCCTCCCACCCCCCTCTGCGCGTGGCTGAGTGGTGAAATTGCACCAGAGAAGAACCCCAATCAAAGGATGATTTTGAATCGTGGGATCGATAAAGAGATCGATACGGAGATCGACCGGGAACCCGGGAAGCCGGGAACCCGGAATAACCAAGAACCCCGAAACCCGGAACCGGGAACCCGGGAACCCAGCCGGCTACCAAAACCGGTGGGAAACTTTCGCCTAATCTTTCAATGTTAATTTCCGCCCTTCAGTGCAAGCACTGATTGGGGAATAAGAAGACGAGGGATCATGAAATTTGAGGTCATGGGATGCCCCCCCGAATCATCTTAACTCCCCTCTTAGCCGCCCACGAGATTAGGAGAAAAAACAATGACGACATGAACATGGAAACTGGGAGGCAAGCGCGGATTCCTCGGATCGGCGCTGGACACCCATCGCTGGCGCGCGGAGCGCGCCAGGGGTGGCGCCCGAGGCGCCGCCAGGGGGGCCCCAATGCCGATCCAAGGAATCCGCGAGAACCTCCCCGAGTCTTGATGTGTATGTCCTTGCTGGTTCCCCGAAATACAACCCACGCCCCGAGTAATTTCACCTCCCTCCTGGCCACCCACGAAATTGGGGAAACCAAAAAGTACCGATACCGCTGCTCCCTGGACCTCTCCCGGGGCGCGTTCTGACCAGGACTTCGAGGCGAACCCAGCGGTGGACGAAGGCCTCCCAAGAGGCCCCAAAAATGGGAGACGGGCGAACGGGTAGAGGTATGGCTACCTTTTTCCTCCTCCGAGAGATAACCTCGGGGATGGGCAGAACCCCCTTCAGCAAAACGTAGTTTCATGAACACGACCTCGGGCCCAAACCTGGCAGGCGCAAGCCTGGAAAATGACGGCTGCGGCGCCCTCTCGGCAATTGAAAGCGCGACAATTCACTAATCGGCGTGTCAGGGTGGGGGCTCTGTCCACCCCCCATAATAGGAGGAACGAAACATTACAGAAATTAAAAAACTCAGAGGTCCGTGCGGATTTCTTGGGAGGTGCCGCCAAGGGGCTCTGGCGCCGATACGAGAAATCCGCGCGCACCTCAGAGTTTTTATGCTTATATGTCATTTCGTGGGCGGCCAAGAGGGGGCGTCCAAGAGGGGGGTGGTGCAAATCATGACCGGCGGCATGTGCGCGGCCCAAGGGGGGGGCTGGGGACGCAATGAAATAAGAAGAGGCGCAATGGAATATGAGGAAACATCATGGCCCACGCCATGATATCCCCCCCCCTAGTCATCACCCCCCTCTTTTCGCCGAGCGCGCTCCACTACTCGCAAAGCGCCTACTCGCAAACGTCCGAAAAACGCCTGCCTGCTTCGATGTGACTTATCGTAGATCCCCGGTGGGCGATCCGGGCCAATTGCGGGTAGTTACTCTGCGAATAATGGAATGCGCTCGTCGATCTTTGCCGACCCCCCACGGGGGGATCTTCGACGAAAAATAACAAATACCCCCAAAATACTCCAAAAAGGTCAAAAACACCACTAGAATAGTCCCCAGACTATTTTTGGACTATTTTTTTATGATTGCTGGGATATATTTCATTTTTCGTCGAAGATCCCCCTGTAGGGGGACAGGCCCGACTGAAAGATAGCCCCCGCCGGCCCGCTGGGGCCTGCTGGTGGTGCGCCGGAGGGCGTGCGTCACCTCCCCGGGGTCCGCCCCGCGGGCCCCGCAGCTCTCGGCAGCTCTCGGCAGCGAGGAGGAGGAGGAGGCGGAGGAGGAGGAGGAGGAGGAGGAGGAGGAGGGGGAGGAGGAGGGGGGGAGGAGGGGGAGGGGGAGGGGAGGAGGAGGAGGAGGAGGAGGAAGAGGAGGAGGAGGAGGAGGAGGAGGAGGAGAGGAGGAGGAGGAGAGGAGGCGGAGGAGGAGGAGGAGGAGGAGGAGGGGGAGGTGGAGGAGAAGGAGGAGGAGGAGGAGGAGCAGGAGGGGGAGGAAGAGGGGGAGGAGGAGGAGGAGGAGGAGGAGGAGGAGGAGGAGGAGGAGGAGGAGGAAGCGGAGTGCAGTGGAGGCCAGTCCACAAGAAACCCTCCAGGGCCCCGCCCACGAGGGCCCGCCCAGTGGAGCTGCCCGGCCCTATCGAGGGTCCCGTGGCCCCAGGCCTCTTCCTATTCCCCCTTCTTGCTATTTCTCCTTCCCATCCCTCCCTCCTGTTCCTCCTTTCTATTCCTCCTCCTATTCCTCCTCAGATTCCTCATCCTATTCCTCCTCCTATTCCTCCTCAGATTCCTCATCCTATCCCTCATCCTGTTCCTCATCCTGCTCATCCTCCCAGTCGTCCTCCTATTCCTCCTCCTGTTTCTCTGGGCTCTGTGGAGCCGCGCTCGCGGCGTGGGGGGCCCCGAGACAGCTGGGGCTGCGCAGACTGCAACGCCGCACGGCACTGCGTCCAGCGCCCCAGAGACCCCAGCTGTCCGCGTCACTCTTCGAGCTGTATCGATACGGTGGAGGCCGGTCCACAAGAGGCCCTCCACAAGAAGCCCGACCCTGAGACCCCAGGACGTCCATCGATGTTTGTTGGTGTGGGAGCGTCGCGCTCTCCATCACAAAAGCATCGAGGCCCACCAAGCCCGGGGCACCCTGGAGGCAAGCAGGGTGCTTCTTGGCATGGGTCTCCACTGCACTGTGCTGTGTTCGGTGGCTTTCGGCTAGACTGGCAGGTCTGCGCTGGATCGGCTCGCGAAATCGGATCGGATCGAGAGCGGATCGAAGCGCCAGGGGATCGTCCCGAAGCGGATCGGCATCGAATCGCCGCGCCCCGCTGCAAGCTGGCTCTGCCGGATGCTGGTGAGTAGGACCGGATCGCATCGAATTGGAAACGCGGCCCCAAACAGCGAATCGAACCGCACCGAATCGGATCGTGAGCGGCCCAGACCGGGTCGTGGACAAGAGGCCGTGTTGGGAGGCTCGTTGGGAGGCCTCTCGGGATCCCGTACAAAGACCGAGGCGGTTGCCGCTTCCGCATATGGCTTACGCCGGAGGCCCGCGCGAGTTTCGCGGATCGGCGCTGCACCCCCTCCCTGGCGCGCGGGGCGCGCCATGGGCGGCGCCAGGGGCGCCGCCGGGGGGCCCAAGCGCCGATCCAAGAAACGCGCGCGGACCTCCCAGCTTTGAAGTTTGTGCCTTTGACCATGAAGGTGCCCTGGGACACACAAATAAATATACACAAATAACAAGATTCCCCATATTCTCACATTTTTTTTGGGGGGGGGTTCGTCTTCCCCCCCCCACTTCCCATATTTTTGCATATTGTCTGGAGAATCGACGATTACTTGTGTCTGTGTGTTGTTTCCCTCCTGATTTATGTTTGTGCCTTCCACTATGCACCGCCCGCGCGACCGGCGCGAACTTCAAGTGCGACCCCCAGGCCCACGACTCAGTGCTGATTGGCATCGCCAGCAGGGAGAAGGATTCTGGCCAGTCGACAGATCGACGCACCGCGTCGCAGTCTGCCAATCTGAAGTCGGTGGCGTGGGGGGTGTTCACACAAATCATCATAAAAGGTGCCCATCCCGTGCCAACATCGAGAAGCAACAAATGTCAGGAGCATCGATATTCAGCACGGAGCTCCTGATGGTTCTACTCATGCAGTTCGTTGTTTCTCGACACCATGCCCCCGCGGTCTGGACGCCGAGGCACGATCCCATGGAGATCCCTGAAATCCAAGAGTTGCATGTTCTTCACACTTGGCGTTTCCGACTGGTTTCATACCCTGGGATCAACACTAATCGGTCCGGTTTTCCAAACGCACAGCGGGAATATTGGGTGCAGAGCCCTGGTCGTGTTTCACGACCTCATCCTCCCGGCCGCGGCAGACTTCCAAGATCCTGGACTCGAGCAGCTGCTTTCAGGCGCCTATACGGCGCGCCCTTTCGTCGGAGCCAGCGCCTGGCGCCGCCCCTAAAAATCGAGGCCGCTCCCTCCCGCTGAGAAATGCACGCCCCGCCTTTGACCAAGTGACTGGGGCCCTGGGACACACAAACAAATACACACAAATAACATAACAGTTTTTAATGCATAGGATTTTTAAACTATATGATTTTTAGTACATGATTAATGTATTAAACAATTGTGCATGAACTCCTTTTTATACGAAATCCATGCATTTTAACATATGATCCGCACGCGGAGCATGTATTAAGAACGGCACTGTAACAGGATCCCCCCCTATTGTCCCATGTTTCCTGGGTTTCTGTCTTCCCCCCCACTGCCCATCGTTTCCCACGTGTTTTGTGGGGGATCGACGAGGAATCGTGTCTGTGTGTTTTTTCCCTCCTGATCAAGGCCATCCCGCCTTGAATCAAAACTGGCCCCGTCCTTGGAGGCCGCCCCCCCCGGATCCAGAATCGGCTCAAGCCCTGCGAGCTTGACGAGCGTATCGAGCGGAGCGGCCCCCCCCCTTTGATTAGGGGGAAACCAAACCTACCTCGCTTTTGACCACCCTCGCTTCCAAGAGATACCAAGCGATGCCAAACTACGGCCTGTACTGGTCAGGCCGCTTGACGAGGAGGCGCGTGGTACGACTTGGTTTTGCCTGGAAGCGAAAGCGGGGTAGGTAATTCACGCTCTGATTGATCAAAAATCCGATCGGCACGACACCTACTGCCGGTTTTGAAGCACCCCTGGCGCGTGCGCGGCCCAGGGCTATATCTACACATCACAATGTGGTGCGCCACGTGAGCCCTGCGCGCCGACGTGCCGGCGGGGAGCGGCAGGGCGCGCCTGACCAGGGCCCCCCCCCTCGCAGGGGGGCGTTGGCGAGACGGCGAGATGGCGGGTACAGTTGGCGCTGCGCGGGCGGGAGCGGGGCTACAGGGTTAGCAAAGAATGCGTCAGAGGAGGGACATATGCAATGCCAAAGGGGGCTGGAAGCACGGATCGCGTGGGAGAGAACGTGGATGGTGAAGGGTGGAAGAGGAAGTACGAGGAGCAGCGACTTTCGCTGTAGAAATGCGGTATTGCCCCAAAGTGCTACTACAAACTGGAATATGATATGGAATGATGCTTTGTTTTTAGAATGATGTTGTGATTTGAGAGGGTTAGAAGCGGATTACTCCCTGATCCCCTGACCACGCAGAGCGCTTTCCGAATGCCCTCCGCTCATCCTCTCATCTCTTACCACACCTACACCATACCCGAACTTAGACTGGGACCTGGGAAGCCATGCGCACGATGGGCACGCAATCCCATGGACACGAACGATGGGGATGCGGTTCCATGGGTACGAAAGACGTGTGTGGAGGGGAAGAGCGGTAACCACTACTAAAACTGAAAACGGACACGTCGGTACCAATCGTGGTCGCCGCCCATGTTGGCCATCGTCGATTTGTGGAGCATCCTCGCGAATCGGCCACGACCGGCATGGGCCATGACCAAAGCTGGCGTCGACAAGGCCCTGCAACATTATGGTCACGGTCAGCATGATCCTTCCTTCGAGAGGGGCAGCGATGGCCATCGCGGCCTCGGGGACAGGCGCCGAAACTCTCGGCCTCCTCTCATGGGGCAACGACATCTGTCGCTGCCCCTCCCCCCCCTCCTCCTCCTCCTCCTCCTCCCTCCTCATTTGCCTCTGCGGCCCCTGCGCGGCAGGAGGGCGGGACGGTCGAGCGGCGCGTCAAGCCGCGAGAGCGAAACCGCCTAGCCTCATCCCCCCTCCTCCTCCTCCTCCTCCAACTCCTCGTCTTCTTCCTCTTCCTCCTCCTTCTGATCGTCCGTCTCCTCTTCCTCTTCCTCCTCCTATTCTTCCTCCTCCTCCTACTCCTTCTGTTCCTCCTCCTCCTCCTCCTCCTCCTCCTCCTCCTCCTCTGAGGGGCAACAATACCCAGAGATCCAACGTCTTGACTTTTTCAACACGGCCGCCCCAGACGTCCTAACCCCCCCCAGGGCCGGCTCTGCATCCTGGATGGTTTCTTGACGGTCCTGGGGCCCAGCGAGGGCCCCCAGAGGCTGACAGCAACGGGAAGCCACCGCCCTGAATGCTTCAATGACATTGAAATTCTGGGTGGGCGGGGCGCCATGGATACTCTTAACTTCTTGTTCATCAAGGGGTGGCGGGGGACAAGACGTGAACACGGGCCGCGGCCAACCACCCGAGCACCGCCCCCCCGAATCCTCCCTCCCCCCCCCTCGCGCCCGGATCCCCCCCCTCCTGCACGCCAACAACCCCGAGCACACAGAGTGAGACACGCCCCCCCCAACCACGCCCACCCCCCCTGGCATTCCAAGGGGGGGGGGGGCGATGAGTAAAAGAGTCAGAGTCCGCGGATACGGATACGCCGCGCACGCGGGGGGCGCCCGCGCACAACGCGCAGCCATCTGCCACCATCGGGGGGGCCGCGGGGCCGCGAAGGTCCAGACAAGCAGTGACTCGGCCGGGCGAGTCCGCCTCTCCCCATCGCCCCCAGCGCGCCACCTCAACGGGTCCTCGAAGTAGCATGAGGCCACGCTCACGATCCAAAGTTGTGTTACCGTTTGGATCACAACTGGTTCTCTCAAAATAGGCACACGCAGCATCACATAAAAGGTAAGCCTGACAGCAATAGCTCCTGCAAAACCCAGCTCCACAACCCACACCTCACAACTCACAACAAAACTATGGCCTCACGTTGTTTCTGGATGGCCTGGGGAGAAGTTACATGCTGAAGGCATCACATAGCCTAGTCTAATCTTAACAACATGGCAATCACCGACGTTGGGAGCTACACCATGCTACACCAGCCGACGGGAGCAAACGCAGCAGCTTCCTCGAGCTCGGTGATCCCCAAGAGCACCACCACAACGTCCACCTCTACCTCCTCCACCTCCTCCTCCTCCTTCTCCTCTTCCTTCCTCCTCCTCCTCCTCCTCCTTCTCCTCCTCCTCCCCGTCCCCCTCCCTGTCCCCCTCCCCCTCCAACTCCCCCTCCTTCTCCGCCTCCTCCTCCTCCTTCTCCTCCTCCTCCTTCTCCGCCTCCTCCTCCCCCACCTCTCTCCTCCGTGCAAGTGCCTATGCTTGACATGGGGCGCGGAAAGGCACCGAACCCAAGCGCACAAGCCGCTGCTATCGCATCGCGTGCGGCGATCGGAGGACCCAGGTGGGCCCGCTTCCAAGGTCAGTCCGGCGAGGGATCACTCTTACGTTCGGGTGCTGCTAGAATTGCCCCTGGCCCAAGGTGCCCCTAGGATGTCCTAGGAGGCCCCCACGGCCTCCAGAGCACCCCTCACGATGCCACGGGGTGCCCCAGGGGTACCAAAGTGGAGCACAAGCTGCGGGCAACCTTGGGCCAGGGGCACCTTGTGCAACCCCCGAGACGGGTGCACGTCGGTCGGAAGTAGGTAAAAACATGAAGTAGGAAGGCGGATTAAGTTCATTGGGTCCAGGCCCCCCCCAGAGAATAACACAACACAGCAAAAGCGTGACGATTCCTGAAGGAGGAAGGCGCTTGAAGTAGATTGGGATCTGGGAATCCAAGAAGTACATAGCCAACCGATCCCCCGCTGCAGCCTCCCCCCGGCGGGAGGAAGTAGGAGGAGGAGAAGGAGGAGGAGGAGGAGGAGGGGGAGGAGGACGGGGGGGATTGGGAGGGGTAGGGGGACGAGGATGAGGAGGATGAGGAGGAGAAGGAGGAGGGGTAGAAGGAGGTGGAGGTGCAGGTGGTGGTGGTGGTGGTGCTCTTGGGCGAACGCCATTCCACAGCTTGGGTTCTTCGTCGAGGTGCTCTTCGGCTCTTTGGTTCTTGAGGGGAGAAGAGGGAGGAGGGAGGAGGGATGAGGAGGAGGAGGGATGAGGAGGAGGACGAGGAGGAGGACGAGGAGGAGGAGGACGAGGAGGAGGAGGACGAGGAGGAGGAGGACGAGGAGGAGGACGGGGAGGAGACGAGGAGGAGGACGGGGAGGAAGAGGAGGACGAGGAGGAAGAGGAGGGGGAGGAGGGAGGAGGAGGAGGAGGGGGAGGAGGAGGAGGACGATGACGAGGAGGAGGACGAGGAACAGGATGAGCAATGAGGAGGAGGACGACGACCACGAGGAGGAGAAGGAGCGCCCCTCCCCCCCTCCGCGCGAAGGCCTGCGGCACCCAGGGCTGCGGCCGCGGGCCCAGCAGCAGCCGCACCCACGCGGGCTCCTCGCGCGGCCGGCTCGCCGTCGGCGTCGGCGCCGTCATCTGCGTTGTCGCTGTCGTCGCCGTCGTCGACGTCGTCGTCGACGTCGGCGACGTCGTCGACGTCGACGACGACGTCGTCGTGGTCGTCGTCGTCGTCGGCGGCGCAGCGTCGGCGTCGGCGTCGGCGTCAGCGCCGTCGGCGTCGGCGTCGGCGCCGCGGGGTCCGGCATCGCCGTCGGCGCCGGCCGCCGCCTGGCTCGCTCATCGCCGATCGTCGATCGTCTGTCGTCGATCATGGGTCGTCGAGGCCTCTTCCAGTGCCCCACCACCTCTGGTCGATGATGCTCAGAACCTTCGAATAGGGGATCGACTTCAGAAGCGCTGTGCCCCAGAGTTGGCTCCTTCGTCGAACCGGCAAGACCGGCACGTCTTAGAAGGTGCGTACACCTGGAGAGGATTCAGCGCATGAGTCGCAGATCCGACGAATACATACCCCAGTCTCTTCAAAACTTTTTTTTTCTAAAAAAAACTTTGCTTTCGATTGCTTCGATGACCTTTCCTGGGCGAATTCCCTCTTTGGGTGGGAAAATCAGTTCCGTAGTGAATTCACCCCTCGAAACGCGTGCTACCGCCAGCGCGTGCTCGTCCACCGAAGACGTTCGATGCGACGCAGGCGGCGCAGTGAGGGCCGACGCGGGCTGCGTGCGGCCGGCGGAGCCGAACGGGATAGGCATACAGTGGGCCAGCACACCTCCTGAGAAGCATCGATCTGATCTGGCAGTTCGGTAGGAGCTCGACCGCAAGACACCCAGCCCTGAGACCACAGGACGTCCATTGATTTCTGGGGTGGGAACGTCACTCTTTCCACAGCCAAACCATCGATACCCAAGAAGACAAGGGCATCCTGGAGGCTTTGCTTGGGTTTCCATTGTAGCACACGTCCTGAGATACATCGATATGATCTGGGAGTATCTTGGGGGCGGCCAGGGGTCTTAGATGTTGGGACCCAAGAATATCGGTTCGAGTGGGGGGATGAGGCCATTTTTGCTCACCATCTGGCCCCTCGCCCCTCACGGGGTCCGTGCATTTGACCCCGGATCCGATCTTCAGGGCCCCAAAGCCCATGAAAACAGCCCCTGGTGGCCGAGAAAGGGAAGAAACCTTCCCGAACCAAGAACCTCGAACCTGCCCCCCTCCCTGCTGACCGGAACCAGTACGGGGCCACCTCAGACCCCCTTGGTGGGCCTGTTTTCCACCACCACCACCATGAGTAGGAGGGAGAGGGGTCCTCCTCCTCCTCCTCCTCCTCCTCGCACGTTGCTCGGAATGAGTTCGTAGTCGATAGCTCGCTCGATCGTCCAGTTGCTGTAGCAGCTGCGCTCTGGCAGCTCGGGCATGCTGTGCTATCAAACGTTGGGTCAACATTGGCCTGGCTCCGAGTTGAGTGATATAAGTAGAAACTCAAAACCAGGCGTTGCACAGCAAGCAGGCGCTCCTCACCGCTCATGTCCTTGGCAATCCCCAATCTGCGCTCTAAGAGGACCTCAAACGGAGCCGACAGGACCCAGACGGATTGCACAGCACCCCACAGCAACGGACAAGATAAATCATGCCTCTGCGTGTCGCACTCATTCGGGCAACCGAATTTACAGGGGATGTTGACTTGCCGAACCCTCCGCTCAGTCGCCCACCCACCCACCACCGTCTTCATGGCCGAGGCCTGCCATGAGGGGGGGAGTCCACTGAGACACTCTTTGAGCATTTTCCAACTGCACCCTGCCCTGGCCTGGCTCGAGAGAAGCCACATGGTCCACTTCTCCATGCCTTTGAAAATGGTGTCGCCTAAATTTTCCTGAAAAAAGCTCAACCTCCAGGCGCCTCGAGATCGTCCTCTGAACGGGAACCGCAGGACCCCCAGCCTCAGCCTGAAGCTTCTGCGCCTCGCGGAGGGCAACCAAAGCAAGGGCCGCAGGGCGGGCGAGACGACGGGGGGGGGAGAAGCCATCAGCAGCAGCGGCGAGCTCCTGAACGAACGCTTGCTCGATCCAGTGCTCAGGCTCCCGCCTGTCCTGAAGCCGCATCGTCATTGGCCAAAAAAGTATTGCCGCCTGCTGCTGGGCCCCCCAGAGCCCCCGCCAATTCGAGACCGTCTGCCTAAGAGGCGCGGAGGAGAGACGAGAGCGGTTGCATCAGCATCGGCTGCGGCCTTAGCATCGACCATTGGCGAAGGGCCAGCAATTGCGACAGAGGAAAAGAGAAGGCGGGGCGATGGGGGACCTTGCGGAGCCCACGACTCCCATCTCATGATGGGTTGGGGCATCCGGGAGAGCTGAGTCAGGTAGCTGAACTTCGAGACCGCCCTCGAGTTGTACAAAGTGACGGCTATCGAGGGGGCGGCCTTGGTCGCAGCTAGATCTTTGGCAGCCCCAACCCACTTTCGGAACGCACGACGCCGCATCAACTCTCTCGATGCTGCTGGGCCGATCCACACCCCAAGATATTCAGCCGCACTCGCAGTAGGCATCGCTGCCCACTTCGGCGCAAGCTGAGTCGGCCTCCTTTAGACCTGCTCAACGATTTTTTTTTGGGGGGGGGGCAGAGACAGGGATGATATGGCCCTTCGGGATTTTAAGCCACAGGCCAGCCAAAAGACGAGCAGCGTAGAATGTGCCAGACAAGCGCGATAGCGCCGCGAGCTCCCGAACCGCCGCCCCCGCATCATCCGCGCGCACCCCCGCCGCCGGTACAGGATGCGTGCGTAGCCGACTTCTCATGTCACGAATTAGTGGGTCCATTGCTAGAGCCCACAAGCTGCCGCTGGACGGATCACCCTGCATGGCCCCCGAGTCAATCAGGCAGAGTGGGGGCAACAACCCCTGGAGCGCTACGCGCGCGATAGCAAAGGCATATGGAGCATGCAGGAAGAGACGAAAACCTTCAGGGAGACCCACCAGCTCTAAAACTCTCAAGAGAAACGTGTGGATAAGGGATGGAAAGACATTGCCAACGCCGAGGAGGATGAGGAGGAGGAGGGCGGTTCTCAGCCGCCGAGGGGGGCATGCTGGCAATCCTAGCTGCGGATTCGCGATGTCGTCTAGAAAGTTTCTCCCAGCCACAAACCCACGCTGGTCACTGTGTAGCTACTCCGACGCAGTAGGCTTCAGGCACTGATTGCAGGCTGCTGACAAAATCTTCACACCAGTATGTTTGAGGGCAAGGGGCCTGGTAGCGGCGGGCTCGCGAACCACGGAGCTCGCATCTTCCGCCGCCCTACCCTTGGGAGCAAACGCCAGCAGCATACCATTTAATTCAGGAGGGGGGGGGGGGGGGGTCCCAAGAAGAAATCCAGGAGCAGCCCATGCAGCGCTGGCGCGGCTAGCTTCGCACCCTTCCACGCCGAGTACGGAAGCCCATCAGGGCCTGGGGCCGCGGGCGAGGCATGCAAAAACAGCACTGCGAAGCTGCTCCTCTGTTGGGGGCTTCAAGCCCGACCAATCAAACTGCTTGACACGCTTGGATAGGCACGCATCTAAGTGCTGAAAGGGGGCTGACTTCGGCGCGAAGACGGGGGCCCAGTGCTCTCTGAGCGCTTCTTTCATGAGGAGAGGGGGGGAAAGGGTCTCGCCCGAGGGGTCCAGAGGGCCCTGGAGGGGGAGAGCCCTGCCTTTCGGAACCCAGGGCTTCCCCCGTCGCCGTTCAGCCTTCATAGACGCACGCAACCGCTCACGCTCAAGAAAGGACGTCGACTGCGCTGGGACCTCTTCCTGGGCCCTGGCGAGACGAGCCGAGAGCACCTCTTGCTGCAGTTGACCATACTGCCTACGGAACTGTATTGGAGAGACCACAGATGCGGGGCCTTCCTCGAGCATCAAAAGATCCCGAGCGAGAGTCGTCTTCGACAGGAGCTTCTTGGCAAGGTCCAGATCATGAGCGTGGGCCGCTCGAGCGACCGATCGAAAAATCATCAGGCGAGCCTCCAAAGGTGGGGCGCCGCTTCTAATGAGACGATCCCGAGCCACGCGAGCAGCCTCGCGCACCACCCTTCTCAGCCCCCTCCAGCGCGGGATCGGCGGCAGCCGACCTATGCACGAGTGGCTGATCAGCGTGTCCAGCCCCTCCGCGCACTCCGCCGACTCGCAGACGAAGCGAGGCACCTCTTGATCAGCAAAAGGCCGACGTCGTCTTGGGTAAAATACCACTTGTGCCGGTGCGTGGTCCGAGATCCCATCATCATCTAATCGCTCAGGGTCCACGGGCACCGTAGCTGTCATATTCGATTGTAACAACTTCCACTAGGGAGTCAGCTTCTGCCCATCCTTCACAGAGTGCGTCGGCCTTTCTTGATCCAACTCGATCACGTCCTCCACCCCCTGCGAGAAAAGGTCTCCGTGCTCGCGACTGCGGGGATCAGTGCTCACTCCTTGATCAATGAGCGGGACGTGGAGATGAGTTGGTGCCCCTTCGTGGTAGTTGAGATCACCCATCACCAAGACAGTCATGTGATCTGGGCCTGCGATCGCGATCTGTACCTCAGCCCTGATCCTATTCATCAGCTGGTTGACCTGCACCGCACTGAGGTCAACGTTATGCACGGTAGCATGCCAGCATTGTATCCGATCCGTCCTGGTTGCTTCTTGCCTTAATAGCCAGTCTCTGCGCCCGACCTGGGGTAATGTCTGAATATCTGATCCTTTCATTCTCGAGGCCCTCACCCATTTGCTTCTGTGCCATTTCTGGTATTATGCAGGCCACGCCACCTGCCGCATGTTCGGGAATCGACGCACACACAGCCATATCTATTCGCCTCAGATACAGCTGTGCCTTGAGCTCCTCCCTCGTACCGTGAACCTCCTGCAACGCATCTATTGACACCCCCGTGCGAACTTCTCTCAGCTTGTTACGTTTCCTGGCTCGCACCCCCATATCATGATGTAGCAACGCCCGCGTATTCCATGTCATAAGCGCCACCTGTTGCGGCAGCCCACGTTTGTAATCTTCTTTTCCCACCTGCAACGTCCTATTAAATAGACCACTGCACCGATTCCTCGACCCCGTGAAAGGTAGCATTGAACGTATCCGGCAGCGCCTTCTGGCCAACTCCGTGCGAAGTGACCGCCGAGCAGTTCCACAGCAAGCGGCTCTTGGAACCGAACGCGTCGCCTGTCTGGACCGTGATCGTCGGTATGCTGTCGATGAACACGACCCCCCTGGCCCAGTCATGATCGGTCCTCTTGTGGGGCAACTGATCTTTGACAGAAGACGCCAATCACTTGGTCTGCACCTCCGTCCTGATTTGTCGCGCAGACTTGTCCAGCCTCACAAATATTTGGGCCCGTCCGCCAGGGACTGCGGCAACTCCAAACTGTCTCCAAGTCTGACCATCACGCTGGAGCGCACGCCGAGCTGCCCGCAACTTCCGCTGCGCAGCATCTCCGTTGCCCAGCATCTGTATGACGTACCTCTTGCTGTGGCTGTCACCGATGAGCTTATACTGGTTCTCCGCAACACCCGCCTGTGTGAGCCACTCGGTGAGCTCCGCGTTGACGCTCTCCTTGCTGGCCATCTCCGATAAGTTAGCAATGCGCACCGTCGGGCCAGGCTGTCGACCCCGCACTTGCACATCCTCGTAGTCCTTGACCGGGATGGCCCGCTCTTGACAATATAGTTCCTTCCGCATCTCATCCAGTTGCCGACGCATCTCGAACTGTGATTGCTCCAGCACGTCACTTCTAGCTTGGATATCTGTAGCTTGAGTTTGGAACTGCTGGTTGACTGCATCCTGTCGCGCCGCCACAGCACGAATGAGGCCCGTGGAGTGGTTCGATATTTCCGAAATAGTGGTCGTCCTGAGCGAGCCCAGTTTCGCCTCCACCGATGCAGCAATCTCATCCTTGAAGGCTCTGAACAGGTCGTCCAGCGAGCTCTGCTGGTCAGGGTCCAAGCCACCACGAGCGGCAGCGGCCGCGGCTGCAGCACTGCCACCAGGCGAGCCCCCCGCGGGGGCAGCAGTGGCGCTGGCAGCCCAGGGGTCTGCACGACCCTGGAGCGGGTCAGCAGAGCGTTGACCACCAGCAGGGCGGCGAGCACCAGCAGCTTGAGAACTCCGATCTTCTTCTTCTGCGGTTGTGCCACGAATGGTTTCATTCGAACGTGAACGTCGCTCTCCCGATTTCGAACCACCTTGGCCACTGCCACGGCTCCGCTGCGGATCTCCCGCGTGAGCAGCGCCGCGAGGGGGCGCGGGGTTTCGGGCAACGCTGGGACCATCAGCTGCGACGACTGGCGTGGATGGAACCCTCGGAGGGGCTCGCGCGGGCGGGAAAGCGGGCCAAAACGGCGTTGTGCAGAACGTGAAAGAGGTCTGCTGCGGCCAGGGCAGGCAGACAACAGGATCGTTCGTTTGCACCCTATCCCTCTCGAGAAACGAGGACGGACGGGCCAAATCTAATCGCAACAACTCGGGTGCTTCACCCTTCGTTACGTTTAGACTTGAGCCAAAATGGCTACGGACCTCCTCCTCCTCCTCCTCCTCCTCCTCCTCCTCCTCCTCCCCTTCCTCCTCCTCCCCCCCATCCAACTTATGGCGGTGGTGGTGGTGGCGGTGGAACACAGGCCCACCACTCCTGACGGCTCGAGAATGCGACGCACCCTGGCCCTCGGAGCTCGAAGATAAAAAACCGCCCTGGGGCGCAGCAGCTCCACGCAGGCACTGCGGACTGGCGGTGCCAGCCCGGAATGCCTCGGCGCGGCCGTGGGTGCAGCCAAGAGCACACGCCACCGGCTCGCTCGCGGATCATCGTTCGTCGAGCCTCGACGCCGGCCTCTGGAACTCGGAGACAAAACCGCCCTGGGGTGTGAAGTCGGGCGCGTCCCCCTACGGGGGGAGATTGGACGACAAACAAAACATGGTCGAAACATCTTCGAAGCATGCTCCAAAATGCTCGAGGAACAGTCCCCAGACTACGGTCGGACCTAGGACAGAAGAACATCCCTCAAGAACTTGAGACCCTCCGCCAGCCCAACCACACAGAACATCCAAGGGTACCCTCCCCTGGATGCACAAGAGCATCCAACAAACACGAAGAACACTAGGGTACCCTCCCCGAACCGACCTCGATCTTATACCTTGGTTCGGCTGTAGTTCTGTTGGACTATTTTTGGAGATTCCCCACGTCGAGGCACAGGCCCGATCAAGCGCCCTGGGGCGCAGACGTTCCGCGCAGGCTCTGCCGACCGGCGGCGCCCGCCCGCCGAGTGCGTCGTGGCCGCCGCGCGGTGGCGGCCAGGTGCACGCGCCGCCTGCCTGCTCGATCGCCGATCGTCGTCCCCGTCAATGCTCTGAGGCGCAACGGCAGGGGGGGGGGACGGGCATCTCGGGGTCGGACAGACCTCCTACCCTGACACGTCCGATTAAGGAATTGGTCGTTTTCGGTTCGCGAGAGGGGGCGTCGCGGCCGTCATTTTTGCGGATCCAGGTCCGTCGGTTTCGGTCCCAGGCGCTTTTCACCAAGGGGAGGTTTACTAAAGGGAGGTTTTTCCACCGCCGGCGGTGGACAAACCTCCCTTTAGTAAACCTCCCCTTAACGAAAACGGCCTGGGACCGAAACCGACGGACCTGGACCCGCAAAAAGGGCGACGCCCTCTCGCGAGCCGAAAACGGCCAGTTCGCTAATCGACCGGTCAGGTTAGGAGGTCTATCAACCTCTAAATATCGGGGGGGAGAACATCGACCTGGAATCGGCGATATATTACCAACACATCTCCGCTAGGCACCCGAAGGCAGATTCCCACGTTCCTGGGCGGGGTGGGGCTGTCAGGGGTCCTATTTGGACGCCCGAAATGGGTACTGAAACAATGGGCACAATGCCCAACAACAAATGCTGTCCCAAACTAACAGCGGCCGCTGTTGGGCAGGCGACCTTCTGTCTCAAGTGGACACAGGCCGCGGCGGCGCGGACAGCGAGTCCTGTTCAAAATGAGCAAGAACTGCTCTTGGGCATTGTGCCCATTCTTTCTGTGCCCATTTCGTTCGTGCCGATCCTATCAGCGATGGATGGACGAGTGGGGGTCGATACGTCCCCCTAATTGCGCCCATCCCACCTTCACATTGCCTTGTGGCTTTCGGGTCATAACTCCGCTGTCCTGCGAACATTCCCCACGATCCGAGCACCCCCCGAACGCCCTTGCGGAGGCGCAGCTGGTAGAAGCCACCCGGAGGCTGGAAACCCGCCGAGGACATACGAAAACGCCCGAAAACATCGAGCCGATCGTTGCCCCTGATCCTCGGCCGTCGATCGGTGAGCGAGGCCCATCGCCGGTCAGCGGTCGTCAATCGAAGGCCCATGCTCTTCGGGGGCGCCCCCCGGGCCCGAGGCCTCTGGGAGGCCCCCCCGTAGGACCTCTGGGCGGCCCGGTGCTAATCTGTCGACGACGGCGGCGCCGCCGTCCTCGTCGGGGTGGTGGGTGGTCGCCGACGCCGTGGTCTTTATCATCATCTCCGCGACTACGCCGCCGACGACGACGACGACGAAAGACGCCGACTCCGACGCCGACGCCGACTCCGACGCCGCCGCCGAGGAGAAGGAGGAGGACGACAACGAGCTCGACACTGGCAACGACGACGACGATGACGAGCTCGACAACGACAACGACGATGGGGTCGTCGCCAGGTCTGTTCTTCGTAAGAGAGGGCTTCGGTGGCCTCCAGAAGACCCCCACATGGTTCGCGGAGGCCGTCTGAGGGGGGTCGAGGAGGAGACTGTGGAGGAGCGGGAGGGTGAGAGGGGCGCGGAGTGGGGTACGGAGGCAGGAGGGAAGCGGAGATGGAGGGAGGGGGCAGGAAGGGGGGGAGGTGAGAGCAAAGAGAGAGAGAGAGGGGGGGAGTGAGGAAGGAAATCACGAAAAAGGGAACCGCCGACCCCTTAGGGTTCCATCGGCATGCAAGATGCTTCCCCCTCCACAAACCCCTCCCCCGGGAGCCGAATCTGGTCGATTTGAAGAGGGGGGTCTACCTGGACTGGCTGGGGCCAGCTGGGGGAGGTACTTTGTTCCAGAAATTATGCCGGGAGGGCATCGAGAGCCTCAAACCGGGCCAAGGGGGCCCCAAGAGACCTCCCAGACGGTCCAAGAGGGCCCCGAGTCGCCGAAACATCGTCCCAAGATGCCCAAGATGGCCTCCAGACGGCCCAAGATGCCTCCAAGACGCCCCAAGAGGCTTCGAAGAGGCCTCGCAAGAGGGCCCCAAGAGGCCCAAATCGGTGATTTTCATTATGTTTTATAATGTGTTTGGCTTTCTCGCTTTTTCCGGCTTCCGACGCTTGAAGACTGCCCAAGAGGCCCCCACGACCACCACAAGACGGCGCGAGAGGCCCCCAAGAAGGCCCCAAGACGCCCAAAGAAGGCCCCAGGACGGCCCAAAAGGCAAGACAGCCCAAAAGGGCCCCAAGAGGGGCCCAAGAAGGGCCCAAGAAGGGAGCCATGAACCGAGAATTCGAGCTTTCCGCTCCAAGAGTCCCCCGGGAGGCCCCAAGAGGCCCCCAAGGGACCCCAAGAGGCCCCCCAAGAGGCCAAAAAGAGGCCCCAAGAGGCCGCAAAACAGCCCCCCAGAGGCCTCCAAACTGCCTCGGGCAGGCCCCCGAGAGGCTTCTCACGAGATCCCAACGAACATCCAAAGGCCTCTGAACCACAACCCAGGCATGGTGGCGGGATGGACCGAAGGCCACTACATATAAACATACGCATAATTCACGGAGCACCCAGGAACCGCAACAGCGACTCTCCTCCAAGGGGTCGGCGGTGCGGCGTAAGCCAAATAATCACGAACAAGTGAAAGAGAAAGGGGGAGGTAGGTGCGTGCGGCGTCGGCGCGCGCAAAGGTTGTTGACGCCGCGTCGATCTCAATCCAAAATCGATCGCGGCCCCGATCGTTCAAGATCGGGGATCTCCTGACCCGGGTCAATCCAGACCTGGGTCAGCCATGCCTTGCAGAATCCTGCAGGATCCTGCAAGATCCTGCACCAAAAACCCGGGCCACTGCCAAGGATCCTGCAAAATCCGGCAGGATCCTGCACCCAAACCCGGGGTCAGTGCGACCCTGGCCCTGCAGGATCCTGCAAGATCGGGCGCTCTGGCTGACCCCCGTTTGCATTGACCCCCGTCTCAAGGCTCCCGACCGGATCGAATCCCGTCGGGTCCGGTGGCGTCGCCGTGCCCCTGGTGCTTCCGCGTCGCAGAATTTCAACCCTTGAACACCTTGGCGGCGCGCACAAGGGGGTGGAGGGAGGGGGGAGGGCTTCTTAGAAGGAGGCTGCTTCTTAGAAGGCGCCGGCCTTACAACTATAGATAAGGCCCGCGCCTTCTAAGAAGCAGGGGTGCTTCTAAGAAGCCCTCCCCCCCTCCCCCCCCCCTCTGCGAGTGGCTGACTTCCGCGTCGCAGAATTTCAGCCCTTGACCGCCTTCGCCGGCGCCGGCGTCGACGGCGCGCCAGCGGCGCGCGAGCCTGCCGCCCTCTCAACGACCGACGGGTCACCCCCCTCTGCGCGTGGCCGAGGGAGCCTCCCCCCCCCTTCCCTGGGAGAGAAAACGCCACACAAACATCAACTTTGGGCGCTCCGTGCGTAGGGGCACAACAAGTGACATAAACATAAAAACTCGGAGGTCCGCGCGGATTTCTCGGATCGGCGCTGGACCCCCCTCCCTGGCGGCGCCGGAGGCGCCGCAGGGGGGCCCCAGCGCCGATCCGAGAAATCCACGCGGACCTCCGAGTTTTTATGTTTATGCTACTTTTTGTTCCCCTAGTGCGGATTTCCTGGATCTGCGCTGGGCCCCCGCCGGAGGCGCCGCCGGGGGGGGGGCCCAGGCGCGGATGCGAGAAATCTGCGCGGGGCGCCGAAAGTTTATGTGCTCTCAGCGACCGACGGGTGCCCCCCTCTGTAAGTATTGGTGACCACCAGGCCAAGTTGATCACAAACCTGGGGATGGGCCTGGTGGCTCCCAATCCTTTTGTATTGAGGCCTGGTGGCTCCCCAGCCAGTGGCCATCAGGCCTATCCACAGGCTTGCGATCAATTTGGTCGGGCGGCTGGCATGGCCGGCAGCTCTGCTTACTACTCTGAGCCCTCTTCCTTCTCTCCTTCCTCCTCCTCCTCCTCCTCCTCCGCCTTCTCCTCCTCCTCCTCCACCTTCTCCTCCTCCTCCTCCTCCTTCTCCTGCCTACCTGCTCCTCCTGCCTAACTCCTCCTCCTCCTCCTCCTCCTCCTCCTCCTCCTCCTCCTCCTCCTCCTCCTAATTATCCCCTCCTCAGGGAGCCCCCTCCTCCTCCCACGGCCGCCGGCCGCGGGCCGCGGGGGCTCCCTGCGCGGCCGCGGCCCCGCCGCGGCGCGCGCGGCGGCGGCCTCTTCCCCGGCGCTCCCGCGAGCCCCCACCCCGCGCAGCCCGCCCCCTCCCGAGGAGGAGGAGGAGGAGGAGGAGGAGGATGAGGAGGAGGAGAAAGATGAGGACGACGATGAGGAGGTGGAGGTGGAGGACGACGACGAGGTCGACGATGATGATGCTGATGCTGATGATGATGGTAATGATGATGATGCTGATGATGACGAGGAGGAGGACGTGGACGACGATGAGGAGGAGGGGGAGGACGACGACATCGACGAGGAGGAGGCGGACGAGGACGTCGACGACGAAGAGGAGGAGGCGGACTTGGAGGAGGAGCGGGGGCAACCGGAGGAGGGCTGGACGCAGGGAACGGGCGATGGGCCCGGGCGGGGCCCATCCCCGCGCGCAGGCTCCCCCCCCCCGCCCCCTCGGACCACGGCAGATCCGGTCCTCCAGGAGGAGGAGGAGGAGGAGGAGGAGGAGGAGGAGGAGGAGGAGGAGGAGGAGGAGGAGGAGGGACGACGACCTCCCATTCCCTATCTCCCCCCTGCCGACGTCAGGTTCCGTGTCGTGTCGACGCGGCGGCCATCCCTGCTGGGCGGGTGTTCTGGGTTGGCACCTGCCAGCGCTATTTGAGCGATGGAACAGATGGGGTCCTCCAGGGCGTTTTGGAACGCTCGGGAACGGCCGCGTCGCCGGACACAGACTAAAGACAACGTGTTCTTGTTCGGCGTCTCGACAGTGGGGGGGGGATGGTGTCTGTCTGGCTCCGGACCCATGCTTAGCGCGACTGTTTGCAGCAGTGCGTCCGATGGAGGAGACTCCACCTGTCCGAAACAGGCGCCCTCTCCATGGGGGGGGTGCGCTGGCCCGCGCCGATCGGCAAAACAATGGGTAAGGAAACCATCACAAACGTGTATCAAGGACGGGTGGTAAGGACGAAAGGCCCTTGGAGGCCGAACTTTGATTTTTTGGGCGGCGGGCGGCCGGTGAAAACGGCAAAGGATGGGTCGCAGAGGCAGGGACACAAGGGCACCGTAGAGGAAGGCGCGCGTCCTGACTGGGAGGCGCTGTGACAATACATCCTCCTGCCAGGACCGCCGACTCTCAGAGATGTCCGGTCTGTATCGGTCTGATGCCGTCTCGATTCTGCCTTCGTCTGACCCCCCCTTTCGGGCTGCCGCTCCTCCTGCTGAGGTGGATGGGAGCGAGCGTACCGGATGGCGGCACCTGGCGCTTTCAGATAATTGTTCAGGTCGGAGTTGTGGAGGTGCGTCGGCAACCCACCCTGCGGCCGTCTTCGTTGGACGAGGGCCAAAAAATCGTCCCCAGACTAGTTGTTGCTACTATTGAGAATTCCTGCTGTAGAGGGCCATGTCCGACTTAAGCGGGGCTCCAACACTCTGTTCACGCCGTTGGTTCTCCCTTCAGCATGGCCAACACAAACCCCCTCGCGCCGCGAACAAAGCACGGCGGATTGTTTGTTGTGCCGTTCATTCTCGGCCTCGGGGGGCCCCCGCTGGGCCCCGAACCGCCATGAAACGACTCGAGATGGATGATTAGCAGCGGAAGGAGCCATAATCCTTTGGGAGCGGACCTAAGTTGGGAGGGCAAGAAACATTAGAGATGGGGGGTCTCTTCTGCAGGCGTTTCGAACCAAATCGCCCAGATTATCGCTAATGCAAAGCTTACGAAGGGGCTCTTTTATCCTCAATGAAAGAAGCATGGGTCCTGGAGAAACCGTCGGGACTGCTGGTGCCTGCATTGTTTGTGAAAAAACTTCATCGGATGTTTGTGAGACGGTGGCCATGGCCAACACTGAACGCGGAAATGTCGGAGTCGATCTTGGTCATCGCCTACCTTGGTCATGGACACTTCGTGGATCATCCTCGCCGCGTATTTCCGACGGCCGGCATGGACCATGACAAACATCGGCGTCGACAAGAGCCGTTACATCTTGGCCATTCTCTTCGTGTTTCTTCCCCTGAGAGGGGGACAGCGATGGCCGTCGTGACCCCTCAGGGGCAGAAGCCACAGCTTTCGGCCTCCTCCAATGGGGGCAACGACAGCTGTTGCTGCCTGTTCTCCTCTTCCTCTTCCTCCTCCTCCTCCTCCTCCTCCTCCTCCTCCTCCTCCCTCTCCTCCTCCTCCTCCTCATCCTCCTCCTCCTCCTCCGCCTCCTCCTCCTCCTCCTGTGAGGGGCAACGCTGCCCAAATATCCGATGCTTCTATCTCGCCAGTGCTTCGGGGGCGGCCAAGAGGTAAGAGGGGGGCGTCCAAGAGGGGGGGACGCAAATCATGGCCGGCGGCATGTGCGCGGCCAAGTGGGCGGGGCCCGGGAACGTATTCAACTAAGAAGAGGCACCATGAAACCTGGGGAGATATCATGGCCCTCGCCATGACATCCGCCCCCCCCTGGTCATCACCCCCCTCTATGCCGCCCCCGAATGCCCAGCCCCCAGGAGTGCGGGCCCGTTCCCCAGGCCGGGGCCTTACATGTTGGGCAGCTACTCGACGGCCCTGGGGAGCCCCCGGGCCCTGGACCCCACAGTAAAGGGCTCGACCGCAGGATACCTTCCACAAAAAAAACAACCCTGAGACCCCAGGACGTCCATGGATCTAGGTCGGGCGCGTCCCCCGACAGGCGGATTTTGGAAGGAAGACATCAAATAGTCAAGCAAGTATTCAAAACAAAGGAAACGTCCCCAGACTTGTTTGGACTAGTTCTGAATACTCCTCCTGTAGAGGGACATGCCCGAGTGAACCATGGATTGTTGGTGAGAGAGCGTCGCGCAGGCCATGGCAGAACCATCGAGACCCACGGAGCCCAGGGCACGAGGCAAGCAGGGTGTTTCTTGGCATGGGCCTCCACTGTATGGTGCCTTCCGCCCGTGGACTGTCGAGCGTTTGTTCACATCCGAAGCCGTTTGCCGACGGTGTCCCGCGGCCCGCGGAGGGCCCCGAGGGCCCGACGGCGGCGACAGACCCCAGGCCCCGCTCGCCTCAGGACCTCAGGACCTGCTTCCCCCACGGCGAGCCTTGCATTTCTGACGGGGCCATGGGACACACAACTAAGCACACGCACGCGAATCCCAGGACTGCTCGTTTGTCTCATGCTTTCTGCAGTTTCGTGCCCCATCATTTCCCATTTTTCTGGGGGATCGACGATTACTTGCGTCTGCGTGTTTTTGTTCCCCCCCTCGCGGCCGCCCACCGCGCTCTGGCCCTGCGCGCCTGGATGCTGCTGCTGCCCCCCCCCCGGGCTGCTCATCGTCGAACACTTCGAGGTCTGAGCGTCCCTTTTTCCTCTCGGCCGTCCCCCCCCTCTTTTTGTCCGCTGGCCAATTCGCTAGTTTGTGCCCCTTTCTAGCTTCTCGCTGGAGCGGAGTTCGCCCCCTCGCCGCTGACGAAAACAACATGTGCTTCCCCCTCCTGGAAGTTCCCATCCCCATCGGCGTGGCCTGGGCACCACTGGCCGGTTTGCCCCCCTATATGGGGATATAGGTCGTGTCCTTCCGGTTTCGAAGGGTGTATCCCCAACTGGGGTGGTAATTTGGTGGGGGTCTCGAAGGGGATGGGGATGGGGATGGGGATTGGTTAAACGATACCGACGTCTGCGTGTGTTGTTTCCCCCTCCTCAATTTCACCCCGGTGAAGCGTTGCGCGAGCGGCCGCCGGGGCCAGTACCGCCATGGAGGGACCCGGCTCGGACGGCACGTGGGGCCACACCCCGCAGCCAGGACCAGCCGGAGGAGGAGGAGGAGGAAGACGAGGAGGAGGAGGAGGAGGAGGAGGAGGGAGGAGGAGAAGAAAGGCGGAGGAGGAGGAAAAGGAGGAGGAAGGGGGACATGGTGCCGTTCTGGCGCATGGTCGTCGCTGGGCCCTGCCTCGACCGCGCGCGCAGACATTGATTAGCGGGCGCGGTCGCCAAATCCATGGATCGGGGGAGGTACCCTCCCCAAGATGCGGCCGGCGCCGCCTCGCTCAGCGGCGGAAATCCACGATTGTCCATGGAACGATGCCCGTTTTCAATCCACGCCCCCTTCATCCATGATTGCGATCACCCGATTATCAAGACCCGCTTCCCTCAGGACCCGCTTTCCCCACGGCGAACGTCTACGAGCCGGCTGCAGCCCGTTCTCCGGGCGCCTCCCCGCCCCGGACGCGACCCTGCGCCGACGACAACCTCTCGGCGGCAGGAGCCGAATCTGGCTGCATGCCCCCGGCGTCGTATCCACCCCTTCCACGCCCCCATCCGCGCTGCGTCGAGAAGGAGAGGGAGACGGACGAGGAGGGGAAGGAAGAGGAGGACGAGGAGGAAAAGGAGGAATGAAAAGGACAGGAAAGGACAGGACATCCGCATACGCATGGAAGGTCAACGTCGACACCTACAATGCAGCTGTGAGTGCTACTCGCACAATCTCCTGCGATTAGAGCACGCCGCAGACACAGACTTCTCATGGGGGCCTGTGGCAGACCCCGAAGTTTCAAGGGGCGAGCTCCGAGGTGGCCCCGTAAGAGAAGCCCGCTACCTTGTGAGTACGAGTCCCTACGGGTCAGTGCGGGGGAGCAGCTGTTGGCCCTCTCGCGCGCCCATGACGCGCTGGGCGAGCAGGGCCCCCGAGCAAGGGGGAGAACGACGACGCGACCTCGCTCGACGCAAGGAGACGAGGAGGGGATGCAGGATGCCCTTGCGCACCAAGCTTTGCTAGGGGGGGGGGGGGGGGGGGAACAACATTATGTCCCCGACTTGCTGTGCCTACGCCCCTACAGGAGCCCCTATCTCTTTAGGCGCACTTCTCTTCCTGGACGAGCTGGCCGCTGGTTGAACTATGCAATTTCGTGTGTGACCCTTTCCTGCGACGCAACATTGTATCTAAATTCTCTGTAGTGGTATTATAGTTGTACCTTGGTGTACCACCTCGCTTCGGCGTGCAAGTGGGGGCAATCATACCTATGGTTGCCGCGGCGAGTACGAAGTTTTTTTTCCGGCTTGTCCGCTATCTGTGTCACTGTCGAC